ATGGATCCAAATGCTAAACGCCACCTTTGGAAAATCATCAGTGAGGAAGTGCAGAACAAGTGTTCGGTGATACTCACATCCCACAGGTAGGGCTGGGGTGGCTCTGCCCCCATTTTGGGGTTGGCAGGAGGTATGGAGAGGCCCATCCCTCGCAATCCCTGTTGGTCCTTGCACAATTCCAGAGCTGTGACAGGTTTGGGGGTTTGTTGTGGCTGAATGTGGGTGCCCACAGAGACTCACAATACTTTAGGGAAGAACAGTCATGTTCTCTGATTACTAAAACAACCATTTTTTTTGTACCTTCTCAATGACTTACTGGAGTTTCTGGGTTGGTTTTCCAGCATGGAAGAGTGTGAAGCCCTCTGTACCAGGCTGGCTATCATGGTGAATGGGAGTTTCCAGTGCATTGGCTCTTTGCAGCACATCAAGAGCAGGTCAGTAAAATGGACCTATTTCACTTTTGCTGAACCATGTATGGAGTTACTGACCTACAGCTTTGAGGGCTCAGAACATGAGACCTGTGTTAACAGGGCATCAAAATAATGACATTTTCTGGTTTATGTTTCTTACTGCACCATTGAAATTCTTTGTTAACTAATGCACTTTCTTCTCTCTCACAGCCTTTCTTCCCAGAAACGTGTCCCCCAAAGTAATCAGTTCACTGCTGCAAATGTGAAATGCATATGAGGGTTGAACTTTTATTTTATTAGTTCTAACAATAGCTTGGCTTCTTATTAAGTTTCACTCCAGGTTAACAACCCTGACCCCATTCAAGTTGTACTCTGCCTGGATTAGATTTCCCCAAAGAGGCCATGCAAGAACTCTCAGAGGATTTTCTTTATCTGTTTCTCTTTTCTACACTGTTAATTGTGATTTACTTTTTCCTCTAGATTTGGAAGAGGATTCACTGTGAAGATGCACTTAAATAGCAACACAGTTTGCACTGAGATGCTGACAGAGTTCATGAAGTCACACTTTCCAAACACGTGCCTGAAGGTAAGCAGGACAAATGCTTTCTGGAGAGGCCTTCAAAATCCCTTCAAATTAACCAAGAGGATCTTGCAAGATGCACACCTTGTAACATATGGTGCACATGGACCCGAGCCACTGCTGTCAGTTACATGGTCCAAGGGCTGGAGCACTCCACTTCCTTGGTGGCTTAAATAACATCAGCCAAAGAGCTGCAGTGATCCTGTAAGGCAGCTGCCTCAGAGATAGTCCCACAGAAGCCTGGCCTGCGTGGAGACCCACTTCAGGTTCAGTGGGTAATGAGATGGTCGGGTGCTTCCAGTAACTGAGTAACTGTAGAACCAGATTAACTCAGTCACGAATCCCATCCCTTGTCCCTAACAAAATGGCTCACTTGGAGCTGGAAAACGCTATGGCCACCCTGGAGCTTCCAGCTTTGGGGCTTAGTTATCCTCTCCCAGCCACAGAACCCACAGAAACTCACAATGGGGAAACACTGGTCAATACCAGAAGATACCCCCTGCCCCTTCATTCTCCCATGGTCCATCAGATCTGTTGGCTCTTTGAAGGGAGCAACCTCTTCATGTTACCCCATCATTCCTGTTCCCACAGGATCGGCATTTCAACATGGTGGAGTATCACGTTCCAGTTTCTGCAGGAGGCGTAGCAAATATATTTGATCTCCTGGAAGGCAGCAAAGCAGCCTTCAATATCAGGCACTTCTCTGTGAGCCAGACAACGTTAGAGGAGGTAAGGAATTAAAATGTGTGACCATCCATTTAAAACTGCCAACAGGGGAGCAGACTGATGGTTACACATAATGGACTGCTGCACACAATAGACTACATTTTGAAAGGGATTTCCATCTATATTCCTCCTGGGGGTACTTTATCAGTACTACTGCCTCCAGGTACCTGTGCTGGCACGAGGAAAATGCACACGGAAGGCTGCCCGTAGCATAAAGGATCTGTTCTTCTCTCTATCACTGCTGATTTCAGCAGCCTCGTGGGTTTGGATGAAGGGCAGGATTATGAATCACTCCCGAGTCCAGGGCTAGGCTTGCCACCAGTCCTGGAAATTTGCTTAGTTTCACTCTTTGGTTTGTAAGTTAATTTAGCATTACTCCAGACTTAACTTCGTGGTTAAGTCCTTTCCATTTTCCCTTGGAAGAACATTCCTGCTGGCACCAAAGTCTTGTAGGAAGCACATCAGCTGTAGGGATGCCACAAGGACTATCCTGTTGAGCATCAGCACCTGAAATACTAGGTTTGTCTCAGAGAGAGAAGCATCCCTGTAGTCCTATGGACTACAGTGATCTGGGGGAAGTTCCCCAGTGTTGGTGTAATAGGGGGCAGTGGCTGTGAGAGAAACGGGCGGACAAAATGCAGGAAGCCCCAAGTTTTGTGGGATGGCAGCTTGGATTTGTGAATATGCAAATGTGATTGCAGGTAGTGTTCTAGTAAGAATACTTAGTGTATGCGTTCGATACTGTTCAAAGGAAGACTGTAGGACCCATCTCTGCACTCTGCAGTTGCGTGTGCACAGATGTCAATTACACACAGACAGATGGGTTTATAAAGCAATGATGGGACTGTTACTGTGTGATCGAAAGGAGCCTCCACACAGGTATTACCTCGCTGGCACTGCTGAAACCTGAGCTGCAGGACAATTAGGCTTCATGCAGGAATGTCTGCCTTTGCATCCCGGGTGTTGATTCAGCAGTACAGGAATGTGCATCCATTTATTTACATTAGCCCATGGAAGACCAACATTTGCAATTCTCAAATCCAGCGTGAAGCACGCTCTCCAGGCTCACAGTCAAATGAACAGCCAATCCTTTTTCATATTCATTCATATTATAAATTATTTATGCTGTCACGGACTGAGTGTTTTCCTTTGAAATTCTAGGTTTTCATCAACTTTGCTAAAGATCAAGAGGATCCTGACGGCGCAGACACGGGTCCTGATGTGACAGTGGACAGCTCTGACACAAGTAGCCAAGCGAGCACCATAAGCTCCATCTATTGAGGGGACCCAACCACACAGGATCATAGAACCTGGGAAAAGACCTGGCAGCCCCTCAGGGTTCTTCCAACCCTGTTTTCTGTGATTCTGGGATGGTGGGGGTGAAACAGTCCCATTTTCTTAAAGTACTTTCTTTTTTTTATGCACTTAATTTGTAACTAGGAACATGGTAGGCATTTGAGTCTCGCACTTGGTTACAAATCAGATTGGTCTTTCCACAGGTTCTTTTCCCCCCAGTTCTTGTTTTGTGATCACTGTAATGCCTGTGAGGACTTAGATGACATCACCCGCTGCTCGTGGCTGTTTGCTTACAGCAGAAATGGCTGTGATGGAGCAGAGGAGCTGTTGGCAGTGCAGGGTGTTTGACCAAAGAGCAGCCCCAGGCTGCAGAGGAAAGCCCACACTCCACTCCTTGCTCAGCAACAGACTTCCAGGGTGACCATGCCAAAGTCCCTCAGGTTTGACAGGTTCCCTGCTGGTGAGAAGGGGCTCGTGGCCTTGCCCTGCCTGCCAGGGGAGCTGTGAGGACACAGGTGTTGTGTACTGAGAGCTGCAAATGCCATTGGTGGGGGCCATCTTTGGTAATGACATAGAGCTTATCTGTATGTGTGGGTTACGTCAGCACAAATACAGTTATTTTAAAAGTTAGTGCTTCCAGTGGTTTTGGTTTGTTCCCGTAGTTTATTCCAGCTCTGTATAACTCCTCAAGTAACTCCTCTGGTGCCAGCAGTTCCTAGCTCTTGGTACCCAGTGGAAGATCATTCCCCCATGAGCCCTTTTCTCCTCTGGGCTGGTGTTCCTCACAGCTGAGGAATGGCACAGGGCAGGTGTGTTGGAATCCTCTGACATGAAGGAGTTTGCTTTCCAAGACTGTGTTTCCCTGAGCACACTAAAGGCAGCGAGCACTTCCCTTGCTCAGAAAACCTCCATCTCCCAGCAGCTCTGCCTCTCTGTGTCCTCTCCAGTGACCTTCCTCCTCAACCCCACGTGGTGGCTGCCCCTATGACTCCAGAGCTGTGTTTTCCCACATAATAAGGCATCATTAGCTTCTGCTTCAAAGGCTCTGCCTGCTGGCTTTCAATGAGTCCTCTGCCTCCCTATGAGCAGCAGCCCCCAGCAGCTGAGTTCAGCACACCAGCACACACATCCTGCTTCCTCCCCCCCAGAATCATTAATAGATAGAGTAGTTGAATATGATTCTTTTATTATATGTATCAGCATAAGGCCTCAAAGACTCGGGTTTGGGTCAGGGCATTGGTGTATGTGGTGCTATTCAGGCACATAATGAACTTAAACTCTGAGCTCAATAAACTTGCTGTTGCTCATGAAAGAGATTGCAGATAAACCCTTACCTTGTGAGACCTGGGGTGGCCCATACAACTTACCTGGGTTCACCCACACAATTCCAGCCAGGTGGTTTCTTTTTCCTTTTTTTTTTTTCCCCCCGAAACTAATTTGAGCCAAAGGAACCTTTGATGAAAGCTGCAGTGGCACATCTTTCTCACTCTGATCGTCAGAGCAGTTTGACTAGTTCAGCTCCTATTGATGCCTTTTGCAGGAATAGGTACTTTCAGTATCAAGGGGTTCAAGATTTTACAGTGGGATACTGATGTTCAGGGTTTAGTTGCTGCAAGGAGGTCATGAATTCTCCTTGGTCTTGGTATAAACTTCTTACTGATAGCAGGAGGAGTTTTATTATGGATTGAAGGTATTGTCAAGCCTTGAATTATGCCTCAACCTGCTGACTGTAATTAAAACTGGGATTCAGCTTCTTTCCAGAATGCATTTGACACCTGCAGTTTATAAGTAACTGAAAAAGCTGCCCAGACATCCATTGTAGCTTCTATTATTATGTCTCCAGCTCTGCAAAGGCTCTTTTTTCTCATTTTCATTGCATATCTTACACAGATCACAGTATAAAATTAAGCTTTTCTCTAATGGAGGGCTTGTGCTCCCTGCAAAGGACTCGGAGCATGAATGCCAATGATTTAAATGCAGCCTTGTAATACCAATCAGAGTATTATTTTATTATGTCGATGGCTTTGCAACTGCCAGTGAAAGATGGATCTTCAGGCTCTGTCCAGATGTACTTTACATGTAATTGAGGGAGACTGATACAAAGCTATTCTTTTGTCCCTTTAGAGCCTACTAATCAAACAAAAAAAAAAAAGGGAAGTGATTCATTGGAATACTTCAGCAAGTTGCAATTTAATTGAGTAAAATAGTTTTGAGGAGGGAAAAAAAAGCAAAAAGCATCCTTTGAATTTCCACCCAATTCTGGCATTAATAGAAACATCTGCTCCATGTGAAATGTGTCAGGGCCGTGATATACACTCCCCGTTTTCACTTGCAGGTAGAAATAAACCATCTGCTGTTGCAATCAAGTCCGTAGGTATTGGTCCAAACAAGCCCGAGTTTACATCCTGGAGGGAATTTAACTGAGGCCCATGGAGAAGCACTTACAACTGTTTGGGGGGTTGAAGCATCTGGCAAGGTGGTTGTATATCACGTCACCAGGGGCTGAATTACCTTTTGTGCCACATTACAAACATCCCTGTTCCCTGCAGAGCCTCAGATTCATCCTGTCCCTTTCAGGTGTGGGACACGCTCCAGCCTCACTTCCAAGGCAAAACACATGCAAGCTGATACTATCCTGCCTCTGCACACCAGCTGCAGGCTTCTCATCACCTCTTGTCTCCCTGAGCAGGGCCCATTGTGGTTCCAGGGGTGGCCAGGAATGCGGAGCCTGGACTAAAAGGCAGCTGCTGAGGATGTGTCTGAGGGGTTGTCAGCAGGCTGTGCACGGCCCGGGAAGGACGGGGTCTCTCCCCTGTCTTTAGCACTCACCGTCATCTTCCCCTGTGGGTGTCACGGCAGGTGCCTTGTCAGTCCTCTCTGGATCCCCTCAGAAATTTTTGCTTTACATAACTCTGCTTTCCAAAAAACCCAAGCAGCCAACGAGCTCTCTCCTCCCTCTGGCCTGGACAGGGAGGTAAGACTGCTGAACACACTGACCCAGCAGCGCTCTGTGCACCACGGCACGGCCCCTCTCCAGGAGCTGCAGTCCGGGGGGAAAACAAGCTTTTCATCTCACTCCTTTGATGCAATTTCACCTCAGCCACTCTCATAACCCTTGTTAGAGGCAGCAGTGCTGGGGCAAGCCCTGCCAGAGCGGTCACACAGCCCCCGTGTGTTAAATGGAACGGGCCTCAACCGACCTTCATTTAGAACTGCTCTGACACGTTACTGACATGAGGTGTAGGCAGTGCAGGTGCTGAACAGGGTCAGGGAGTCAAGGAGGAATTTCAGTACTGGTTGTGTGCATTGTGAGGCTGACTGAAGTCAGTTTTGTAATTGGAACTGTGGACTTGGAGACAACGACTCAAATCTCCATCCTGGCTCTCCCTCATTTACGGCTTTGTGCTGTTGATGAGAGCAGGTGCTTCTACAGCTTGATCCTTGCTTAGCTTTGGTCTCGATGCCAGTGACCACCGAGGGCTGACTTCAAAGGGTCAGAGAGGGCCTGGCAGGGCCGAGGAAAGCTGTCCAGAAGGGCCAATGTTAAGCAAAATACTGTAAATATAAATTCGGGGTCTAATGGGATTTTTTTTGTCCTTTCATGAGAGCTGCAGGAGTGGTTTTGTTACTGGGTCCTTTCAGAAAACATGTTTACAGGTCAAAATAACACATCCAGGTAAACAAAACTCAGTGGCTAGTAAAGCACAGGAGCTGGTGGTGCCCACAGACCTGCTGCCTCTGTGGAGTCACTGCTCGGATCCAGAATTTGCAGAATCCAAGCTCGTAATAGGCTCAGGATGTGCCCCAGCCTGTTGTAGAAGCTTTGACTTCCTTCCACTGCTGCAGCTTCACTGAATCTGCTATGAGACTTTCTAGCTTTTTACAAGCCAAGAAAAATGTATGCCTCTGCACTTAATAGGGGAAGGGTTATTTTGTGAGCTGCTGGAGGAAGAAAAATGGGTTTTGGATGGCAACAGCACATAACATGATTTTACTCTCTTTTTTTTTTCAGACAACAGCTGTGATCTTGCATAGCTATAACAAAGTATCAGCAGCATATTAAAAGAGAGCACAACAGAGAAAAGAAGCAGTGGGGAATGACAAAACAAAAATTGAATTCACTAAGATTATTATTCCATGACAGTATTTAAATAAAAAAAACCCACTCTAATTAATTTAGTTGTTCAGGGAGAGGGTGGAAAGAAGGAAGATGGCACTAAAATAGTAAGAACAGCATTAGTAAGGGGCACAGCCAGCGTGTGCTGTTGGCTCTGTTCGTCCCACCACTTGCATCCATGGTGCTGGTATGAGGCAGGACGATCAGCCTCATGGTGCTGGGGAGCAGCAGAGGGAGTACAGCCAATTTTGGGCCAGACCAGGCTCCTCAAAACATCTGTGGCAGGGGGGAAGCTGCACAAAACCACCCCAAGGGGTATCAGTATTTTGGGACCGGAGCCCGACCCACACCACGTAACAATCCTGCAGCACCTGGCACGTGCCAAAATGGGAGAGTTACAGCGGCCACATGGAGCTCAGGATGGAGGAAACAGATACTTGTGCTTGCAACCCACGGAGCAACGCTTGAAACCAGGCACTGCTCCCCAGTGCTTGGTTCCTGGGCATGCAGCCCCCAGTTCAGTGCTGATTGCTGCTGGAAGACACCGCTGGAAACAGGCCATTGCCAGGGAGAGCACTGGTGAGGGCCCCGTGCTGGGAGGCGAGAGCAGGAAATGGCAGTGCTCCCACAAGCTGGGAGGCTCAAAGCAACAGTCCCACCCTCTACCCCAGCCTCCAGATTAAGCAGCAAGTCTTTCACTAGATCAGCATGTTGGGTGGAAATGAAGTGTCTCTTAGGAAGAGCTCAGGTCTTCACTGACTCCAAAGAAAGAAACAGGAAGGGCATGACAGAATTTATGGTAACACACACGAGATAAAATCCAAGTGAGGACACGGTTATCATCGAGGATCTTGCTTCCCTTAGCAGGTCAGGGTGAGCTCCCAGCCCTCTCCTCTCTGTGTCCCAGCTGCCAGCTGAAGGGGTTTTACCCAGCCCTCTGCTTCAGTGTGTGCTGCTGTTTCACAGTCAGAGACAAATGGAGGAACATCCAGTGTGTGACAGGGAGGACGAAGCGGGATGATCTGCCTCTCCATAACCAGACCCAGCTGGGTTATTCCTGTGCAAGACAGCAACGAATTTAAGTTAAAATTATACCAACCAGATTGAAATGCAATTAAAGGAGTTCCCTTAGGGTTGCACATCCAATTAGTAGAGCATCTTTAATTACACCAGTGCAGACACGTGCCGAGAGGACCACCAGCACGGAGATGAGGCCTGCCTGGTGACCCACATCCATGAGGGCTCCAGAGGAGTTATGCCTGGGTTTCCACCAACATGGGTGACCTGCTCCCCCACTGGGGAAAAGCCCCTGGGCTGGCCCAGCCTGGACTAGGAGCAAGGCAGAGGAGAAATACAGAAACCATTTTCAGCTTTGTAAGAGCAATTGTCTCTAGCAGACAGTTTCTGGAAAGCAATTAATATCCAGGTGCTTCTAAAAGGTAAGAGTTCTTCCCAGTTTTTTGTACGTGAGTTTTCCCTCTTGCAGTGTCTGAACATACCCTGCTCTGAGGAACTGTGGAAGCCAAAGCATCAGAGTTGACTTTGATAAGAAAACTCATTAAAACACTAACAAGGCAAATATTAAGAATTGCCAGAAACACCAGAGCACTTCTAGGTGTCCCTCAACCATCTCCAGGGAGTTTTGTGAGGTAGAAGAACTAAAAATACCTTCCCACCTGTAGCCTTGAGTATAACACCACCTCCAAAGCAGCCAGTGGGTGTGACTCAGGAGTGTGGTCCTCGTTTGGAGCATTAGTCCAAGTCCCTGTCGAAGCCTACAGTCTGGCTGCTCTGAACTATTCCTGTTTAAAATCCTGTCAAAGAGAGAAAATAAAACTGAAGGAGACTCTCCTTTGCCCATTGTAGCAGCAAGCCTGAGGGCTGGTGTGTGTCAATAATCCCTGGGACCCCATTTTAATGCAAAATCATATCACCTTGCACCAGATAGTGCCCTCAGGTCAATACTAACAGGGGGACAGGAGCAGGTGCTCCACACATCTTCACATGCTCCTCCTCAAGTGTTCCTTTAAGCACCCTCAAAAGTTGAGACCGTAGGCTTAGTGGGATTAACAATGATAATCATTCCCATCCATCACTGCAAAGCAGGCTGTGGAGCTGCTGAATCCGTTCTGCTCCAGGAACCCGGGAAATCGACGCCGTACCTGAGCAGCCAGGCAGGGGCAGCTCCAGGCTTGCTGTAAAGAGGAACAGAGCGATTGCTCAGGCTCACTTCCTTATTCATTTTTTTTATGAGCCCTCAGAGCCTCCCTAGGAATTATCAAAGCCTCTCCAAGGAGGGCAGAGCCGCAAAGGGAGCGTTTATTCACGGGCTGGTGCTTCACGCTGCGATAACCCTCTGTGTGAACATACTGGAGTGGCTGTACGGGTCTCCTCCCTCACGTGGGCAGTGAGGCCTCTCCTTTAACCTGCTTTCTGCACCTTCAGCATTTGACCACCCTCATTACAGACTCATAAGTGGCTTTTTTCCCCTATAATCAGCTCTTTGCCATGCATCGGTGGATGGCAGCAAAGGCAAAGCTTGTATGTTCGTTACAAACTCCCCTGATGCTCTGTCTGAGGGAGCCTCCTGCTCCCCAGGGTTGCATTACAAACTGGGATGTGTGGAATCGAGCAGGATTAGGGAATACCATGACATTTAAGCAATGGGGACCTTCACTGGGAGGATTTGGGCTGAAAACCAGGGAGGGTCCAAGACTGTACAACCTCCAAAGGTCCTTAATGTGCCAGAGCTGGGCCCCCAGATACCTGCAGGGACAGAGATGTTCGAGAAGGCTCAGCTGTGGCCAGCTGGAGGAAGAATGGGATGGTTTGCTCCATGCCTGCTGCCCTGCCTTTCCTGACAATGGAAGCAGCAGAGCCAAGGCATGCAGTTTCACATCGAGTTCATATTGCAACCATTCCAGAAATCCCATGTGCCAGAATGACATAATTCTGCCACCACACAGAAAAATGTAATTATTGGGTGTCAGTGGGGCTTCAGACCTAACTTGTGAGAGCAAAAAACCTTCACAGCTCCCTTGGAGAGTCTAGATGTTACAGGGGTTATTTTTCCCCTGTGAATATCCTACAGGGGTGATTTCAAGGCTTGAAACCAGCTCACACATGACACTAATACAGTGTCCCTCTGAACAATATAGCACCCCCTCTCCTGCCAAGGTAAATGGGAGAGGCTAAGTTTCCTTATTACTCATCAGCCTGATAAATCAAAGCTGCTGTGCTGTACTTCCCTCCCACCCCCTCTGGCGTTTCTGAGCTCTGGCTCAAGCAGAAATCACAAGGTGAGCTCGCTTGGGCTATGTAAGGGAGCACACCAGCCCAGGTGGTTATACAAGTTCTTGAAATCACCTTAGGAAATGGGAAGCTGTTTTTCCATCCATCCAGGCTGTGACATTCCTCTGAATGTGTGCTCAGCACGCATCTGATGAAAACAGGAGGGTCTGTGCCACTGGGCTTTGCCATCCCCATGGGCCTGTTTGCAGAGTGGGGCAGGAAAAAGGAGCCTGTTGGGCTTGGGCAGCTCAGGGCTGGGTGGTCCCTGCAGCAGGATGGGGCAGCGTGGGTGCAGGGCTGGGGCAGTGCACTGGCTCTGGGAGGGGAGTTGTTGGTATCACAAAGCATCCCACTCTTCCCTCGGAGGGATTATAGGCAAATCAGAGGACAAACACAGGGGTTGGTGCTTACACCATGGTACGTTGGAGTGACAGAGCCTGATAACTTGGAGGGGAGGCAGCCACCAGTTCCAGCACCCTTCCCTGCAGAGGCTGGAGCAGCCAGCTCTGCCCCTGGCCAAAGGGAAACCACCCCGTGGCTGTCAGGTCAGAATGGTGTTTCTTTGGCAGTTTATAGCAATCCTGTTTGTGGATTAAAACACAGCCGTCAAGGCAGCTCGTCCGGGATTTACGACATGGCCTCAAAATGCAGAAGAAAAGGAAAGCTGAACTCTCCTTTGATGTTTGCAAGTGTAACCTGCAGACCTGAGCTGAACACACTGTAAATAAGGATCATTAATCATCAGCTAAGCGGCACACGGTTGCTGTTATTTATTATAACAACATAAATCACCCGGAGCTGCTATCATGTTAATTTGGATTTAGTATGGATTAGTATGGAAAGGAGAGTATCCTTACCTATTTACAAAATACATACCTTTATTTTATACATACTTTAACAAGTGTTAATCCCACTTGTAAACACATATAGATGTGCCGTGGTTTTTGTTCCTTAAGTTTCCTCCAGTTAGTAAGCAAGTCAGGAAAACGCTCTGGGAGCTCTGCACGTGAGAGATTTCCAAAGGTTCAGGTCAAGCTGCAGCCCAGAAAAATCTGTCTTGTGATGACACAGTGAGTTGGCACCGAGGGGAGAAGTAAGACCAGGAGCTCTGGGATATGTTTCAGAGGCTCTGCAACGCCCCCAGCCCTTCCTCCAGCCCCTCTGCAGGGCCCTTCCCAGAAACTGCCCTGCATCCATGTATCACTGCAGTAACCTCACAGACTTCCTTACTTCTTTTATTTGCAGCTCAGCTCTGGCTTTCACTTTTAAGAAGCATGAGGCATGGGTTTTGTGGGATGCTGGAGCCCTCTGCTCCTGCCTTTGGAAGGAAGGCTTAGCAGGGAAGGAGCATTTTAATTTATATTAAGGGAGCATTAACCACACTTTTCATATTCTCCAGGAATGCCAGCTGTACTCCTTGCTGATGTATTAATTTGAGTTTGTTGGAGCTAAAAGGTGGGGCTGACATCCTCATGCACCACAGCAAGACCAGTGGAGGCACCAGTATGACCATACCAGGTGTTTTGGGTGTGGAGCTCATGTCAGAGCTGGAAATGTGGCCCCATCCCTCTCCACAGATCATTTCTAAGTGTGGTGACAACAGAACTTCACCCCACAGGGATCCTCATCTCGGTGCTGAGGCACAGCAGCTGTCTCTGCCCTTGAGCACTCAGGTGTAGTTAGGGGGTCCATTCTACCCCCCAAAAGGACTTGAATTCTTTAAAATTAGGCAGGTTTGCTGTTAAGAAGTCACAGCAAATTTCTCCCCGCAGTCCTGGGAATCTGTTTTATCCTGATGAAGCTGGAGGTGCTGAGCCTTGACTCAGGATGCAGAGATCCCTGATCAACCCCATGGAGGTCACCAGTGCTGCTTTAGCTGGAGATTTGTCCTGATTAAGAAAGAGACCTTGATATCTGGGAAACAGAGATCAGAACAATCAGGGTTTTGCATTTTTAAAATGTAACTGCAAGGGAAACAAAAAGAATGTTATTTTTTGGGCCGGCCCAAAGATTTCCCACAGGCTTGAAGCTGCAGTGTTACATTTAACAACAGGCTCATAAGTCCCAGGTAAAGAACAAAAGCAATGATGCACCTGCATCCTGACTCCACTGGGTCCAAAAGTGCAAGTAATTGCCTTTAATTGGCTCTGTTGTTTTTAACCTGTTTTGTGTGTGCCAGATGAACAGACATCAAACCAGGGAGAATTTCTCTAAGTGTTGAGCCAGAGCTGAGGTTTGCATAAATTAAAATTGGGTTAATTATAATAACTCTAGTACAATAGGGATAGTATAATAAGACTAATTAGAGTGGGGCTAATATGAGGGTTCAAGCCACAGCAGCCACTGTACAAAACACTCACCCAGGTTCTTCAGAGGTTTCCCTGGACTTGTATCCCACTCGACTCAGGGGCAATCCAACATCTAAAAGCCTCTGCAGAGCTCTGACTGCGTTTTCCTGAGCATCCACGCTCGCCTCGCACCGACCATATGTCTGTCTCTGTCTGCTAGCAGATTGCACCAAATATTTTCCTTTTCTACCGTGGCTGAGCAAACAAACACCATCTGCGGGGCTCGTCGAGGGAAATCCCGTCCCCTCTGTGCCTGCGGGGAGGCAGCCGCGCGTGTCCGTGGGGCTGACGCTTCTGCACCCGGACCCTGGGACAGGAACCTCTCCCTGCTCCTCAGCTCTGCCCATCCGCCGAGCTGAGCTGGGACCTGACAGTTGGCATACATTTTAATTCAGGTTTTATTACAGGAAGGCTGAGCCCTGTCAGAGCAGACTGCCTAGCGATGACCCAGGCTTGTGGGGCTGCCTTGGGGCAGTGGGAGGTGGAAGAGGGTGAGAAGGCTTTTTTTTGGTTGGCTCTGCCTTGGATGTATCCATGCTGCGGGGGGCTTTGGGCATTTTCCAGCCATGCTCAAATCAGGCCATGCTCAAATCAGGCCCAGGCCTGATTTTTGGTCTGCCTTGGCATGCTTAGGATGAGAGGTCTGGGAGGGCAGCTGATGGGGGATGGAAATTATTCCTTGTTCAAGCGTTTATTCCTTTGGTAGGTAAATCTCCTGGGTGGCACTGCTTGATATGGAGGGTCTGTGCCATCCATCCATGCAGCCCAGCACTGGTGCAGGGAAGCACCAGCAGCTGCTGAAGCAAAGGTGTGAACGTGGTCCCCCAGCTGGGCACAGGTTTTTTTCCTGCTTTGCTGTTCTCTGTTATTTGCCTTTCTGCAGGAAACCCCTTTTCTGGTAAAATCAGAAGGGTAGTCTCAATTTTGTAAAATCCTCTGCAGTTTTGACCCATGTGGCCATTCTCAGAGGTCCCCAGCAGGTGCAGGTGTAAATTACCTGTCACCTCAGCTGCTTTTCCGCTCGCGCTTCTGCAGCGCTGGGTCCAGAGCTTGTGCTCTGACCAAATCTTTTGTACAAGTGCCCTTTGGATTTAGCAATTCGCACGGTGAAAGCAGAACCAATGAACCACAGGCTTCTCTGCCGCTGCTTTTAATTAAAAATGCCATGTCTAACACCAGCAGATGTTCCTGCTACTGAGGCTCAACGAATAATTTAATGCTATGTAATGCAATGCTGACTGCGCTGCTTAGTCTGAAAGTGTAACAGACTTTTTTATTATTATTATTATTATTTCCTTTTGGGGATCAAATCCCTCAATATTTGAAATCCTACAACTTGCTAGTCTAATGGCTCTAGCCAATTACTGCACCAAATGGTCTCAGCAGTGCCGTGTCTTTCAAGTCAGTGCTGCAGCCCATGATGCCTCTGCCACCACGGTGAGCTCTCAGGGCCTCGGATGCACAGCAAAATTGGCCTCAGAGGGGCGGCACTAGTAGCAAACTAAGCCTGTTAAAGGCTTTGATTCAGACATTTGGGGAAAGAGGGAATTCAAAGCATGAGGCTGTTCCTCTTCCCATTTTTTTTCCAGTCTTCTGATGAAGCGGATCCATTCTGTCACTTGCGGCGGCCGCTCAGCATGTGAGAGCTGAGCACCCTTTCCTGGTGGGGTAGTCCCAGGATGTGCTCTGCATTCAGGTGGATGGGAGGAGAGAGACCCCCTCCTCCCAGGTGCTTTGGCTCTTTTAATGCCCAGGAAAACGGCTGACTTGTGAGACTCGATGGAACCGCCTCCTTCTGCTCTCACCCCTTCCCATTACATGATGAATCATGCAATAATTGTATATTTGTTGAAAAACAGCTGGAGAACTTCGCTAAATGAATAAAATATCAGGTACCGGTGTATTTACATAAAAAGGTCTTTACCAGATGGGCAGCACTTTGAAATGAAGCACGAGGTAGACGAGGATGTTTTACCTTCCCCGTCAGCCGCCGAGCCCAGCCCATCCTTCAGCGCGGGTTTTGCTGTGAAGCTCCGCATTGTTTGAAAACCACATTAACAGTTTAGCACGGCGGAGATGATCGTTGCCTCAGCAGGGCACGGAGCTGATTCATGCACGTACCCAACGCCGCTGTCTCACTATATCACACCACTGCCGAAACCGCTTTACTGGCTTTCTGTCATGCAACAAATTTATTTTAAAGTGTGTGGGCCTTATACTGCCTGGAATGGCTTTAGTTGTACTTTAAATACTGCATAAACCAAATTTAGAGATGTATTTCTTGCTTCCCTCTGTTCCCTGCATCATTTTTTTCGCTCCTGACTGTCCAATTGGTAGCAGTAATTCACTGCAGAGGAAGACGTTTCTTAGATTTCTGAGAGTGCCAACTCCTTAACCTTTATGAAATTAAGGAGAATGAATCACTCGTGACTTTTACATCTTTCTCGAACACAAGTATTTGTTAGCTTCAGGCTGCCCAGGGCAGTGCTTTGGCTCAGTTTAACTTAGTTGTAAATGTTTGTAAATTCCCACATAATGTCTCAGCACAATAGAGACTGTGCGTGCACACGTGGATTTATTGGGAGAGACACTAAACATATTTCAGCCGGAGGGAAGGAAGATGAGGCACTTATCTGGTTTACTGTCCTGTACAGTATATATTGGCATCTCATATTTTGTGAACATAAATGCCAGGTTGACTCAAGAGATCTATGGATCAAGTGTTGTTTGTAACCTGCTCTGAATGCTTCAAATTGCATTAAAGTTTCATCTCGGCAGCGAGGCCTTTTGCCATCTTTCAGTATCACCAGTGCCCTAGGAGATGCTGGGAGCTGGGATTTTGGACCACAGGATGAGCACACAACAGCCAAGTAAGAGGGAGTAGTAGGATGTAAAGGTTGCATCTGGTAACTGTTTATTTTTAAGGGAAAAATTACTCATTTAGCTTATTTTGTGAGTTTATCCTGGTTTTGTCAATATGAGGGAGCAGGTTCCTGTCCCAGTTTCATCCTCTGCAGCCCAAGGAAAGGAGTGAGGGTGCCCTGTCCAGCTGTGCCCCTTGCTGTCAACCCTCTCCTGCATCCTGGTGTTTTGGTGCATGCACATAGGGTGGGAAGAGGCACCAGGAATGTGCCACTCCCCCACCTTGCAGGGCTTGGGGACAAGCTCCCCTTTGGGCAGAGCAGGCCCAGGGCATGTCTGCCTGCCCCTTTCCCTCCTCCAGGAGAGTCAAGGATGGTGCTGTGCTCTGTAGCAGCTCACTGCAGTCAGATCCTGCCAGAAACAGATCTGGGAGCATCTGGCAGCTACAAGTGTCTATCACAAGGTGTGATTTTCCTTTGGTTTTGTTGTACTTCCACGCTCGCCTCGGCGGCTGTTGTTCCTTTCCGCAGATCCGCTTCCCTCGGCGGCAGAGATCCCGCCGGTCCGCACGGCCGGGGATGACGGGCCGTCAGCAAGGGGGACACTGCGCCGTGCTATTAACGCAGCGGGGGGTTCCCTGAGCACCAGAAAACAACAGGCTATTACAGAGACACAGCCGCACTTTTCACAGCTGGATCCAAGCGCACTGATGCAGCTCCCGTGCTGTCGATGCCAACAAACAGCCCTCCTCTCCGTGCCAGGGAAACGAGACGTGTGAGGATGGGGATGCCTGCATCCATCCCTCTCCGGCTCGGATTCTGCAAGGACAGCATCACTGCAAGGGACAGGCTGTTGTTTAGGACTCTCCACGGTTTCTCTTCTCATGGATAACGACTGGGAGTTATCATGGATGCAGAGAAAGCCGAGACAGTGTTTTCTGGGGTCAAGCAGGTTAGGAGATACGATGACATTGCTAATAAAGGCTGAACATGCCATCATTCAAATCAGCGTGACGGTGCTTCACCCTGTCAAGTGTCAGCTTGCCCCAGATGACAAATGGTCTCAGATCAATGGAGCTGTGAGATTTCACAATTCTGCATCCTGCGTAGTGCTCATCTCCTTGCACCTCTGGCTAATATTTGTAACAAAGATTTACCCTTCTCTAAATAAAGCAAAAAAATTAATAAAAATCCCAGTTCAAACCATTCCCAGTGTTCAGGAGCCACAGAGGGAACAAACTACCAAAGCAGAGGAGTGTGACACCCGAAAACTGGAGAACCTCCTTCTTGGAAGACATTAATAGTTTATTAAGAAATACTTTCAGCCCTGATTTAACACTCATTTAAGTAGAAGTCCTTCTCTCTAGATAAGGTAAATCTGGGACGCTGCTCTGACGGCTGTTTTCTACGACTGTCACCAACCAAATTCTGTGGCTCCACACCACCACATCCTTTTATGATGAAGTTCCCTCAAAGAATAACTTGCTCGCTTTAATCATGTTTTCTCTGAGATTTATAGCTTGATGCTTATTCACTGACGGAGCTTCTCCACGTGAAATGTCAGTAAGCCCGTTATAAATCGCTCCTGGCATTCCTGCTCTATCTTTTACTTGGCCAGGAGTATTCCTACCTGAAAGTGATAAATTCCTGCTATAACTGCTTTATGTGCTCCAGTAATTACGCTGTAGAGGGATGGCAGGGGCTGTGTGTGTGGAGGTACCGCCTAAAAAACAGAAACCTGTAAAAAGTGGGAGATTGGGCTGAACCCTGAGGTGCTGCAGGAAACACAGGCTGAGGGAAAAACCACTCCGGCAACCCGAAACAACAGTGACTGGTGAGTTACTTCTGTTAGACTGAAGCAGGGGAATGGGCAGAAGAGAGGGAAGAAAATGAATTTTTTAAATTCAAGGCGGAAAGGTGTCGGCACAGGGGGAGGCGCCCTGCCTGGTCTGGGTGCCAGGCATGAGGGGTGGATGCCCTCAGCCCCAGCATGCTGTGTCCACCCACCTGTCTAAGGCCTCCTTTGGGTAGGGGATATTTATAGTGTGTTAGATGTGTTATAGATACACAAACACTGGAAAGACATAGGGTATTTGATTGATTTGGGTGCTTTGTGGTATCTAGGTGGGCCAAGATCAACGGCATGAGGTTCAATAGGATTCAGTCCAATAGTTTGGCCACAACAACCCCCCGCAGTGCTACAGGCTGGGGGAAGGGGGACTGCAAAGCAGCCCAAAGGCAAAGGATCTGGAGGTGCTCGTCAACAGCAGCCAAATATAAGCCAGTGTATGCCCAGGTGGTCAAGAAAGCCAATGGCATCTGGCCTGTAGCGTGGCCAGCAGGGCCAGGGCAGTGACTGTCGCCCTGTGCTGAGCACTGTCGAGGCCACACCTCGAGTGCTGTGTTCAGTTCTGAGCCTCTCCCTTCAGGAAGGACATAGAGGGGCTGGAGCGTGTCCAGAGAAGGGCAATGGAGCTGGGGAAGGGTCTGGAGCACATGTCCTGTGAAGAGCAGCTGAGGGAGCTGGGGGGGCTCAGCCTGGAGAAAAGAAGGCTCAGGGGGGACCTTCTCGCTCTCAGCCGGGGGGAGTTCGGGCTCTGCTCCCAGGGAACAAGGGACAGAACAAGGGGAAATGGACTGGAGCTGTTCAGGCCGCAGAGGTTCAGCCTGGACATCAGGAAGCATTTCTTCACAGAAAAGGAGATTAGACATTGGAATGGCCTGCCCAGGCAAGTGGTGGACTCACCATCCCTGGAGGTATTTAAGGTATGCCACGGTCTTGTTGCCATGGTGGTGTCGGGTCACAGGCTGGACTCATATGATCTCAGAGGTCTTTTCCAAGCTAACTGACCGGCACTCCGTGACCGGATCCCGGGTTTCCCCCACCCCGCCCTTTCCCTCCCCTCAGGGCGGCCCCGCCCCGCTCGCGGAGCGCGGGAAGCGCCGGGGGCGGTGAGCGCGCGCGTGGCTGCCGCGCCTGCGCGGTGGCGGCGGGCGGGGAATTTAGAGCGGCGGCGGGAAGCGCGGCGGGAAGGGAAGGGTTGGGAGCAGGAGAGCGATGAGGGAGGCGCTGCGCGGCCGCTCGGGCAACCAGCCGGCCCCGGACGGCCACCTCCGCACTGTTGACCCCCCCATGGCGTCGCCCGGGCAGCCCTGGTCCCGCACCCGCGCCGCGCTGGGGCGGCTGGAGAGGGCGCTGAGCTGCTCCCGCTGGTAATGGGCGACCCCCTTTCCCTTCTCCTCCTTCCCCCGCGGTTCTTGCCGTGAGGCCGCGCGTGCTAAAAGTGCCGTGTTTCTCCCTCCTGTGCCCACAGCGCCGGCGTCCTGCGGCAGCCCGTGTCCCTGGGGCAGTGCGAGCACGTCTTCTGCCTGTAAGTAGCGGGGCCCGCCCCGCCGTGCTGTGGGCACGGGGTGGGGAGGTGGCACCGGCGGGGCTTCCTGGCCCTTTCGGGGGGCTGAGGGGGAGAGGAAGGCAGGAGCTGCCGTCCCCCTGTGGGTCCCCTGCCAGAGTGTTGGTTTAGGCTTCAGGATGCTGGCCTGGTGTGAAGGGAGCCCTCAGTCTGATGGAGGGGGTTGTCCACCTGTAGCGGGATTAGAACTGCAAAACAACCTCCAGTTCTCATAATCTCTTAACTTCTTCCTCTTCCTCTCCTCATAACAAACAAAAAAGGAGCAGCCTGGAAAGATGCTCCCTGTTTCCAAGGGGGTTTTGCTCTGCCGGAGGGAGTGAGTGCTGCTTGTCCTTGCCCTGGCCTCCTGCTGTGCTGTGGCATCGCCCCTTCAGATCTCCGCTGTAGCTCCTCCTGTATTCCTGCCCGTCCAAACACGTTAGGATAGCGGGATTACCTCTGCTTACAGTTTGTTAAATAATCCGAGTGCTTGAAAAAAACAACGGAGTTATGTTGGAAACATTCTGGTACAAAGCACTTCTGAGGAGGTGGTGGTCACTTGGCCTGTTTTAGGACAGCTCACTGCATCGTCAGTACAGGCAGAGTCTGAAATGTTTGTGCCCCAGAATCTCATTTGGTGGTGGAACCTTTTGGCTGCCCTGTATGTCACTGCTCTTCACAGCATGCAAATGCAGACACGGGGAGTTAAAAGGTCAATGGTATATCTTGAACAGTTTCTCTGCACAGCAGAGGTGTGAGAAGCCTGATAAAATGTGTTTGTTACAGTGGAGAGGATAAATACCTTCTAACCTCTGCTTGTAACCCAGTCTAGATATTCAGCTTTGCCTCTTGACAGTGTAATCACTATGTCGGTAAAAGCAGAGGAAAACCCTTCCTCCCTGATGGATGTGTATCCACTCCCTGTATTCAGCTGCACCTTTCTCATTGGAGCTTACAGTGCTGAAGGCCTGAAGGGTGAAGTGCAAGTAAAATATTTTCTTGCTTTTTAAGGAATAACTGATTATAGGACAGATGCCCTCAGTGTCTCCTCCCCCAGTATGGATGTATTAAAAGATGCACAATGATTTATTTCTCTCCAGACATGTGTGCTCTTTCCCAGCTGTGGCCATTAATTGTTGTAGAAGATTCTTGAAGAGGGACTTTTTACAAGGGCGTGTAGTGACAGGACAAGGGGCAATGGCTTCAAATTGGCAAAAAGTAGATATTAGGAATTCTTCCCTGTGATGGTGGTAAGGTCCAGACACAGGTTGCCCAGAGGAGGTGTGGCTGCCCCACCCCTGGAAGTGTTCAAGGCCATGGCAAGGGTGTGGAACCAACTGGTCTTTAAGGTCCCTTCCAACCCAAGCCATTCTGTGATTCTGCTGTCTGGAGGAATTTTTTTCTTATTTGTTTCCTTTATATGACCTACCTACAGATTACTTGGTAAAATAACCCCCAGAAGCTTGTACAGGTTACTTATAAGCATGATTGTGTGGCTTAATAAATGTAATTGTTTAGTTGTTGGTTGTCTAAGGCTTTGTGGTTTCATTTTGGAAGATCAGAAGACAATGCAGTTTGTATTGGTGAGGCTGGAAAGAATAGCTAAGAGGAGTCTTAAGCACTCATTAGCAGCTATTTCTTGCTCCAGATGAAGGAGTCCATTTGCTGTTATCTGAGTTATTGTTATACATAATCTTTTCTCTTTTGTATGCCTGACCTTTTTAGCAGCAATTTGATATGTCCTTTGATGACCGAGTCTTGGATAGCTGCTATTTTTTTAAATAAACCTAAGGAAATTTAGATTAATTTGTTTAGAAGCAAATTATGTAGGGCACGGGTCCACTCTGCAGTATTTTGACATGAAGTGATTCTGATCCACTGCCGAAGACAAACATTTATTAATACACCTGGGAAGGAGCGGGGTGGATGGCCAGAGCTGGCTGCTGATAGATGAGGTGAAATATGTGAAACTAATGAACTGCAGTAATCAGGTCACACATAATAGAACTGGTTCTCCCTCAGCAGGGTTTTATTATGGACGGGGATATTTATTAAGATCAGTTTCTGCAGTTTAGTCTGCGTAGCTCTTACCAGGTTAGCCTCAGTCATTATCCACTAACTATAAAGCCCCAACAGCTAGAATTACTTAAGCAATGTTGTAGTATAAAAGTCATTCTGCATTTCCTTTGCTGTGCCTTTTACAGGCATGGGAAACCTGAGGCCGACTTCCCCAGAGAATGAGACATGGTTGGTCCTTCCCTTTGCTCCAAGTGGTTTGTCAGTGTCATCTGGAATATGTCAGAGCCAGGAACTGTATTTCAGTCTCCCAATCACAGCAATGTCTCAGCCACGGGGTCCTTTTCCTACTCAGAGCACAAAACACACCTGGCAGCAATTTTTGCATACCAAATTTCCTCCCTTGGGATTAGCTGAACACCTGATTCATGTGTGGTGTTTGAGGGAGAGATGCTGGTGCAGAGAACAGATCTGAAAATACCTTTCTCCTTAAAGGAAGTGGCAGTAGCTATAATTTTGATATGTTTTGGTTAACTGATATGCTACTAGCTTTGGGGTGTATGAATGTTTAGAGTCAAGATGTATAGGTTCTGATCTTCTTTTTCTTGATATTACTGCCTTGATATTGCTTGCTGTCTGTTCCTCGGAGTGTTTAACACGATCTGCTCACATTTACTTGTATGCCTTTGGCTAGAATTGTGTGTGCTACGTAGGGGTGAGTAAGGGAGGCTTTGAAAATTAATTCAGACTTGGGTATTTGAAACCATGAGCTGTATTTAATAGGATAGATTGTAGATGAGAAGTAACAATGGCCCTCGAATGTTGCAGTTCAGATGGGAAAGCAAAAGGGCTTCTCACTGGCCTAATCAAAAGAATAGAAGATTTTAGGCTGATATGGGGAGAGTGGTACTGCTGAGGACGTACAGGTGTTAAATGACCATTACCAAGTAAATGTTTCCCCACCCACCCCACCTTGATCATCTGACATAAGTGCTCTGAAAGAGAGAGCAGTGATAGAATACTCTGAACACCTGCAGATCCTCATGGGACTTCATACAGAAAAGTGTTCAGACAGGTGAATCTTCACAATATCAAGAAAATTTTAAGTGGGGAAAAAGCAGAAATGATAGTTTACTGTGGGTTGGTTTTCTGGCACTTGTTTAAAAATGGAAGACTGCAGAATAGCAGGTGTGAAAGGACGTGTGGTTTTAACTGTTCAAGCCTAATTGTTACCTGGAGGCAGACAGCAGTGGAGATTTAGCATTTCTTGAAAATTTGGGTCAGCTTCTGATTGGGGAAGTCACAAGACACCACATTTTTCATGACAGTGTCCTGACAAGGCTCTGGACTTGGCTTGCTTAATTATGTTCGGCTTGTCACTTGCCAAGATAAATATGTGCTGTCCTGCATTTGTGACTCCCTGGTGGGGTTTACAACAGTGGTCTGTCAGGGCTAAAATAAGAGCTTCTCGCTGAGTGCTTGCCTGTGGGGCGGTTGATAGCGAGTACAGTTCATAACTTGTGCTGGAAAATGGACTTTTCATTTGCCTTTCAGATCCTGCGTGGGCGACTGTGTTGGCACGGAGTGCCCCGTGTGCCACGTGCCAGCCTGGCTGCAGGATGCCCAGATCAACCGGCAGCTGGACTCCATGATCCAGCTGTGCAGCAAACTGCGGGAGCTGCTGGGCACGGACAGCCCCGGTAAGGGTCACCCGGCACGGCCGCAGGGTCCCGGCCGCTCCCTCTCATCTCCCAGGCTGTGTGGGGAACGAGCAGTGCAGCCCTGCTTAACATTCCAAAGGGCTCTTCCAAATCATGTTTGGAAAATTTGATTTGAAGAGAACTGTCTGTATGGATTGCTCATTCTTTGAATCTGTTTTACGAAGAAATCCGCATGAGCGGGTTAGTCCATAATTCATTAGAACCTGTCTTCCAGAATTAGATGGAAGTGGGAGAGATTGCCAAGTCACGTGGCACAAACCAGGGGCCCCAGTTGTCACATCCTGTGCTCTTAGGTGAGCCCCAGTGTGTAATGTTCTGCACTGTATGAGGGGGCCCTGTTAAAGAATCGATGCATGTGTTCTCTCGCCCCTCGTGTTCCTGTGCACTGAGGCGTGTGTGCTGTCCCGGTAATTTTCAGTTTAGGGTTTTTGCACATGGCAAAAATTATGCACGTTCCTTGCCTAAAAGGGGAAGGAAGCAAGTCTTAACTCATTTATTTTCTGGTCCCTAACAATCTGCTGCAGTGGAGTTTTGTCACTGCTGACTGTGCTGGAAGATTGCAGAGAATGTACTCTGGGAATTCATCTTTATCAAATTTTAGGCTGTTTGTGAAAGGAGTTAAAAATGAAGTGAAATAAGCGTAGGTGAATGTATGTCTCTTTTGCAAGCTCAGAAGGAGCATTTATGTAATATCAAGTTTTAGAAAACATTTATTTAGCTGTCAGATATAGAAAAGGTATTTCTTCCTTCATTGTTGCTTCCTGATATGTTTGTCTAAATTAAAGATTCTTTTTTTATGTCTAATCCCATCAGCACCTTCATTCATTTATGGAGTAGCTCTTTATTGACATCAGAATGCATTTAAGTGAGGAGGCTGGAAGCCTATGTCCAACTATAAAGGAATACATTTTGTATAAATATAAAATCCTATGGTGATTAAATATTCTGGAGCACAGAAAACATAGATGATGGCTTAAACAGGATTTCAGGGAAATATTTTAAGTGATGAAGGCTTTGAAAAACACACTTGGAAGAGAATCTCTGAGAGGAGCTATTTGTGATGCTGTAAATAAAGCATTTAAAATACAACATGGTATTATTGGTAGTATTGATACTGTTTAGATGCTTTGGAGGACTCTTACAGATGGATTAACTCTTAGAAGTGGTATGATGTTTAACTGTACTAGGAATTGAGCAATACATTTAGTCCCATAGTTCTTAAAAAATAAAGTCTGCATGGTGTGGCTAAACAGCAGAACGAAATGAGGTTCTTTTTATCATCCCTTGTTCTGACTTCAGACATGAAATTGAAGTTTACAAGGGCGTTATATTTGGAGCTAAAGTTAGGAGCTGGTGTGGGAGAGGACTTTCTACCACTTGTAATCTTTGCAGTGTGCTAAGGATTAGTACAGTGGCCCTTTGGATGTTTCATACCAAGGTTAAGAGAAAAACCTCGGGAGTTGGTGATAGTTCACTGTCAGGAATGGCTTGGATGCATCAGTAAATGAGCACACCTCTGAGAACAACCAATTCTGTGCTGTAAAAAAACCCCCCATATTGTTGAAAATCACAGGATGTTGTAGCTTCAGAGGTTTTGAGAGCAAATCCTTTGGGATGTGTTGTCCCTCATCTTGGGCAAATCCGTCACCTCCCATAGATATATGCCTTGAACTTAATGTCTCCAAAGTGAAATATGTTTGAGTTTGGAGAATCGGGGCCTCTCCTGTTGGGGACTTGCTTTCATGCTCTTACAGCACTGTACTTCTGTCAACAATATTTTCTTCTCTCTTTTTTTTTTTTGTTAGAAGGTCAGAAATTGTACTTTTATGTTCCAGTAAAGGAAATAGACCGAAAAATCAATCTTTCAGTGGAGGAAAGGAAGAGAAGCAGTTGAAACAAAGAATATTTCCATGTATTTGTTTTATGTCTCTTCTGCGTATTTGCTTTATATGCCTTGTTTTGTTGTGGCTCATATCAAAGCTTCTCTTTGAGAACCTTGTTGACACTGAAATTTCTAATGCAAGTGCATCCTGCTACCCTTTTTTTAGTCTGTGACAGAGCTAGTGAATGCAGCAAGTTGTGTGTTTTTCTTTAAAAAACCCCAGAACTGCTGTGACTGAAAAGGATAGGGTTAAGCTCACATATTGAATGTTTCAAGTACAAAAATCCCTGTACCCTGAGGTTCCACAGTAGATATGAGAGGGATCTCACTTTGTATTCCGTTGGGATAAGAATAGCTTTTGCCAAGCAGCATGTGCATTGTAAGAAGCAGCAGCAAGTAATTCAGGAAAGGCTGCACAAAACAGCTAATATTTCCCTTCTAAATTAAAGGGAAACACAACAAATGACACTGCTGGGACAACTGAAGGAAGATTGACAAATGACAAAGCTGAAACTGGATAGAAAATGCAAATTAGGGGTAGAAAATTCAAACTATAGGTAGCAAATGCTGAGTCTTAAAATTAATTCACTTGTTAGAGATGTTATATTCTTAGTCTATGGTGAGGTGAGGAGAGCTGTCTGACCTTCTCACTGCCCTGTGTTGTACCTTTACAAGGGCAATGGGGAGCTGGGTGGCAGGCAGGCTTCACAGGTGGCACCTCAGAATCTTCAGCTCTGATCTTGCAGCACCCAGGGCATTGTGAGAACTGGCTCTGGGGGGATGATGGGCTTTGTGGGGGAGAAACAACAGGAACTTGTTGAATCATGGGCATAGTGTATATAATACACTAGAGAGGAAGGAAGCTGATTTACAGTGATGGTTTTGAAAGTGAATTCCTAAATACTTCAGCAGATTTTTTGGTGTGATGCTCTATAAAATGAAGAGATTGTTGTTGATTTTCAGAAGGATTGTTTATAGATGATTTTACCTTATTCTGTGTAACATAATGTGCTTCACTCTAACACAGTCAAACTAAGCCTTCCTCCCCTCTTCTCAGACAGAGCTGGACCTTGCAGGTGCTGGTCAAAGCTTCCTAAGCTCATGCTGCTGATGATGGACAGTGGGAGAGATCAACTTCTTATCAGCCTTTATAGTATCATGACTTAGTTTTGCGTTTGCTGATGTGGAGGGAAAGATGTTGAACTTCTGTTGTAACAGATTACATTGCATTTCATGTGTGCTGTGACATTTTTCATAATAGCTAAAGATGAGGTTTTGAATAGTTGGAATTTCTCCCTTTCCCCACCCTGTGTTGAATACTTAGCTTGCAAAATAATCATTCTTCAGTGAAGGCACTAATGTTGCACAGATGGTACCAAAGCTCTTCCCTTTGATTTTTAATAAGGGACTAGTTTGTCAAAGAGATTTCTCAACTTCTGTTCTGAAACCCGTAATAGAGAATAATTTGAAAGGCACACAATGTGCATCATTATATTCCTTTGATGCAGATTAATGATAGCTAAACCACATTTTCTAATTGCTCCTTTTTTCTCCCCTGCTCTAGCCTGTTATTGCAGTGCAGCAGAACTTGGAGATGGAGCTCTAGTTGCAAGGCACTGCCTATCTCCTCATATCTTTTTCTACTCTCAACTCTTTTAACATTCAAGAAATTCAACTCTATTAAATGTCAGCTTTAAGAAACGTGTGCTTATTATGGGCAAATAAGTCTAATTTAGAAAGAATTCAGTTAATGTATTGTGTGTATGAATGTTACGTTTAATAGGTAATGGAGAGTAAATTTACTGCACTTATTAAAGGCTGATTCTAATACTGTTATTGTGCATGCTCTTTACAGTATTGCAGATGCTTAAAATCTGGGATTAGTAAGGCATGCTCTACTGATTTACCTTGTCTCAGTGCATCTCTAAAAAATGTTGGGAGGACACTTATGTATTAAAAAGATAATTAAATCTAAATCATATATAGTAATTTTTTTTCATTCCTGTTGAGATGCAAGCTCTGGCTTCCAGCTTGGAGACAGCAAAGAATTCATTGGGATCGATTTTTCTGTGAGCAATTTTCTCTGAAGGTAGTTTAACTGAATGCACTTAGCTGCTACATAATGCCCTCTTAATATAAATTAACATTTACATATTAAACCATAAGAACTTCCTTTCATCATCTTAGCACTGTGCCTCTTCTCTCTGTCTCCCTCTCACAGCTCTGGGTCCATCAAAAGATTCAATTTTCAGGGAGGATAGATTGGTCATTTGACCAAATTACTTCTGCTCCCTCTGTTGTCCTCTTTGGAAACGGAGGAAAGGGTAGCAGAGTCTAAGAATTACCATTTTCTGCAGATGCTACTGTTCAGGTAAAGTTGACGTTAGCTACAGAGTATTCCAGAGGATGGAAGAATGGCTGGGAGATAGCACACGGCCTGGCAGAAGGGCAGCTTCTCCCCCAGCAGGCTGTGGAGGTGCCCTGGCTGTGCTGGGATGGATCTCTCTGGCAGCAGGCGTGGTCGTCTCATCGTGTTCTCAGGTGCCCCCCTGTTCTAAAACATGCAGTGTGCTCTTTTGCACCTGAAGTAGTTGCATGTGAGGAAAAGTAATTCTGGGAGATTATCTGGTGTATTGTTATATTTTCAGCAGGTTTTTAATAACCTGACTAACAAGGCCCTGCTGAGCAGCCAGTAACGAACAGATTGGTTTGGGAACCCTCGTGGTGGATTGTTCCCAGGCTTTCTTGCTGCCAGAAGTGGTATGTCCAGAGCTTCCAGAGTAAATTCTTCACCATGTTATGCTGCTTTAGATCTTATTTCTGAAGGGCAGTGCCTTTGATTGAATTTGTCACTTGGACTTTAAAGCCTCGCTGTGCTATACACATCAGAAAGAATTCTGGCCATCACAAAATTGTTGCACAAATTACTTCTGCAAGCTGATTTTATTCTGTCTCTTTACTTGGGGAAGACTGATGGTTCTAGCAAGGTAAATATTTTACAAGGAAATCTGCTAGTTGTGTAAACAGTGAAGGCACGACAAGTAAATAGTTACTTGTGTTTTATATTTTGCATCTGTTTGCAATCAAGCTCTTCCTTTTTTTAGATGTTATTGTCAGAACAAGATTGGATACGATCTCAGAGACAGCTAGTTCTGAGATTTCAGTCTCAGTTTCAGTCCCTTTCTTCCTGTTTGCACCAACTCCAACCCCTGCAGAAAACCAAATAGCTGCAGTTCTGTACTTGATGATTGTCTTTAGATACCTAAATGATTGATTAGCTAGCCTCAAGCTGTATTCCTAAAGACTTTTGGTCTGATGGCTTACATGTTCCTCTGGCTAAATCTAATATGTAACATATTTTAATTCAAGGAGTAAGTAGGGTAATTGAAATCAAGACTGAGGAAACATTTAACTTTGAAATATTACTTTAAAAGAAAACTGCAAATGCCTGTTTTAGTGTTCAATTACTAGCAATGCAGTTCTCTTTTAAGTGAAATTTCAAACATACATTTTCAGGGCTAAGGGATTGGGACTAGTTTGTTTGCTGTCTGTGAGTTTATCACAGCTTACTGTGGAAAATGGGCTATAGTTACTAACACCAAAAATAAGAGAAGGTGTGGAGAAAATAAATTACCCATTGAAAGTTAATGCACCAAGTGAAAGTGATAGATTGTTGCAGTGAGTGTCTGTCACTTTTAATAATTGAGGCTTTGTATAGTTTATTTCAAGAACATTTAATCCCCCACGATAATCTTGGTCTTAGTTCTGTTTCAAAAAAAAATAGAAATAACTTTCCTCACTAGGCAAAGTTCATGTTGGTTTTTTGTTTGATTTGCTGTAAATCACCACGACTTTTGTGCATCATAGTCCCCGAGGTTTGAGGCAACAGGAAGAATGCCTTGTGCATTTACTTTGAAGGACTTGTCCAAGTAGCCTAAAATAACTTGGGTTTCCATGAAGAAATTGGTAAAAAATATGTTCTAGTTTTTTTGCATCAAAATAAGTTGTCTAATTAAATTAGTGTCTAACTTAGAGGTCACTTTGTGCTCCTTAATTTATTCTTAAGCCATTGAGAACAGTATTTATAGTCCTTGTCCTCAACTGTTATTTGCTGGGAGTACAGGATATTCCTCTGTCATCTTGGTTATTGATTTGTAATGTGCTGTACAGTGTGATTTATAAAATTGCTCCACTGCATATTTTTAGAGAAATGTTTGAGGTCATCAAAATGTTTAGCTTCCTTGAAGTTACTTACTACCAAGGGATAAAGGATCAAATGACAGGACACAATTACTTACAGATTTTCTTTGTATTCCTCTGATTCACCTGCTATATCTGTGGAATCAGTCAATGTTTCTCAGGAATGTTCAACACTTTTCTAAGGATATTATTTTTGCTTGCCTAGAGCTATTCTTCTTTTTCATCTTCAGATGAACCATATTATCTTTTTAGAAAATTGCCTCTGTGCTCTTTTGTGTATGCACATGCTATTTTGTTAAACCTATTTCCAAGGAAAACTCAGGGAGAGAACTGACTTCTGTCCTTTTCTGAGATGATCAGAAATCCTCTGTGCATGTGCTGAAGGAATTTCTCTACCAGGATGCTCACTTGCCCAGTGGGTCACTTGAGCTGCACTAGGATCCCTGAACTCCAGAGTGGCAGGTGACCTTGCCAGGGGTTTTAAAGCATTACCAGTGTCTTCTTAAAAGAAATGAAGGCACTCTTAGATGGTGTTTAGTAACACTTCAGCAGTTATTGCAGTTGTTTTTATGACCTTTGTTTGCTCTATGATGTTCTGTAGAGCTCTGTAACTCTATAATTATTTCTCCTCTTCCCTGATGCACTTAGATTCAGCAGAAGATGCATCCACACCACCTGACTCAGACTTGGGCAAAAACAACAAGAAGGAACCGATAAAAATGTGGTTCAGCCCAAGAAGCAGGAAGATTCGATGTGTCCTGAACAAGAGTCAGCCTGAGACTAAGAGAAGTGACCCTGGTGAGGACACATCTTCAGTTTATGATTTCTTTCCTTCCCCTCCTCACGAAAAGCCCCCTGAGCTGATAAAAAAACCAACCCAGAGGCAGAATAAGAAGATGAAGAAGAAACATCTGGCAGACATTAACAAAGTGTGGAGCTTAGAGAAGCCTGGGCAGAAAGGAGTTGAGGAGAAGACTCCCAAGGAAAAGTGTGTGACCATCTGCAGTCAGCCAGTGATCCTGTGCACTCCGGAACCGGAGAGCCCCGAAGAGAGACCTCAGCAGGAGGCTGTGAAGGAAGATGACTCCAGCAAAAATACAGGAAATGTGGAAATGCCACCACAGGTAGAATCCCCAGAGAAGAACGATAACAGTGAGGTTGTGTGCCCTGCACAAGAGAGCAAAGAAAACAATTGTGCTCCAGAGACGTCGCTGTCAACAGAAAATGAAACCACGCTGTTAAAACGTGGGAGGGAGCAACCTGGGCTTCAGCTCACTCCTCATCCTAAAAGACTGAGGAGATCTGAAAGGGGCATTGCTGGGAAGGCAGGCAGGCAGGCAGATTGCTTGGAGGAGTTACCTCAGGGCTCCCCCATCTCCCCAGCGACTGAACACCAGACACCCGTTCAGATTTCTTCCTCTGCATCAAAACTCGCTGGTACTGTAAGGAAGACAAGAAGCTCTGCAGTCCTTCAAGCAACAGATAGTCCTTCACTTTCAAAATCTCCCTCTGCTCCATCTACTCCTAAGACTTGCAGTCAAGTATCGATACCGTTCAGTCCTTCTGTGTTGAAATCCCCTGGTGGCAACACAATTTCCAGAAGAAATTACAAAGGAGAGACTTTGCTCCACGTTGCTTCCATCAAGGTAGGACCATCATCTTCTAGTTTAACTTTTAACAGAGGTTTAAAAAGACAATGTTGTTTTAAGTGTATTCTGTAAATCAGTTACTTCAGAACATCCTGTGTCGGTGGGGGGGAAATCTCATTTTGTGATCTTTATCTTCTGGGTTTATTGGGAAGTTTCCAGCCCGATTCTCTGATTTATAAAGAAATGACTGTTGGAATGATCAAAGATGGTTGTACTTGGGAACTCAGTGCGTTACAGTGTCAGTTATACCCGTGAGTTCTAGGAAGTGATAAGCATTTAGATGTTTTGGCCTTGTGTGCCAGAAAGCTGTCTCTGATTTGTCATAAGGAGCTTAGTAAGTCTTTCAGAGCTCAGTGAGTGATCCTGATCAGTTTAACTTGGGCAGGACAAGATCTGAATTACCTGCATAAAGATAACTCTATGAAACCTTAATTGGGGTTAATTCCATAATCTTGAAAGTCTGCCACCAGGTGCAAGTGTTGGCTCAAGAGGAATGGGGTGCTGCACCCTGTGATTCCCATGCTGAGCCCTGTGCTCTGAAGGGAAGGGACAGAGTTGGGGTGTTCTCAGTGGGCTTCAGTTTTATGTAGGATCAGTGTTATTCTTGGAATGACAGCTGTCACTCATTGTGCTGTTATTACCTTAGCCAGTTCCTGCTGTGGTAGAACTCCATGGCTTTGCTCTTTGCAAGGGCTGTCCTTGCCCATTACTTTGTAGAACTGCAGGGAGGGTAAAACTTGTCCCACTCATCAGATGCACTCGTGGCAGCTCCCTTCGGAGAGGTTGTTTCAAGGAGTTTGTAGTCTGGCAATTTAAATGTACTTTGTGCTAAATCATAATACACAAATACTGTGTGGTTAATAAACTGCCTCTGCTGGAAGAATTGATTCCTCTGTAAGCATCCTGACATTTATACAGCACTTCTGTGTGGTGAGACAGGCTGTTCTTGAGCAATAACTGTGCCCTCTTTCAAAGGCATTCTAATAAGCCACTCCTGCTGCACGAGACCTTTTTAAACAGAAGTGGCAGCTGAGTTTGAGTTCAAATCTCCTACTTCATGCCATTAATATGGAGTTAGGGAGGAGAAAATGAAACATTGTCCTCACAGGACTCAAGAGCTTTGAAGGATAGATCTCTTGTTACCTCTCCTCGTAAGTCCTGTATATTCCTCTTTATTAAAACGCTGTTTACAAATTACCCTTGCATGATTTACTGGGAATTTGTAATGAATACCGTCATGACTGGCTGGCTCTAAAAAAAATTGATGTACCTTGACTAGTTTTCACACAGGTGTGGTTTCCAGCAATATGTCTGACACTTCTTTGGAACACGAGTATTTCATCTAAGAAAACAGCCCCTCTGCAGCTTATTGTGATCCTTGGAGTATTGACATATTGGGGATGTTTCCAGTAAGGTGTTTTTTCATTGCAAAGCATTTTGAAGATAAATGAGTAGAAATGAAACAGTTCATGCTGTAGACAGAGGATAGGCATGTTTTGATTATCCAGGTTCAGTGGTGCCACTGGCACTGCTTGTTGGCATTGGCACAGCCCTCTGAGAAAGGACAGGGCTGCCCCAAGGGGCTGGAAAGCTCATCTCCAGCTGGACTGTGGGCAGTGGGGTGGGCTTCTCCCAGTCCTCAGTGTGAATTCCTTTCAGTGTTGCCTTCTAATGTTTATAATTATTGAGCTAAAATGGGAAGTGCCTTCTGTTCCTCATTAGTTCTGCTGTGGTTTTTTATCCATCAGTTCCATATTCATTGAGGTGCTCATTAGCAAAGGCTTGTTTAGCTAGGTAGGGCTTCAGGGTGATCCCAAAGTTACTGCTGTCTTTTAAATGGAACTAAAATAAGGCCAGGGAAGTTATCTTTTGGTTATGGTCACAGTTTTCTTGCACGTATCTTTGTTTCCAGTTACTAAACTTCCAAGGCAACTCTGAGAAAGATGTTTTACTGTCTCAGTTCCTCATCTGTAAAGGAGGTTATACAGGTGACCTCCTTTCTTTTGTGGTGGTCCTGGTTCTTGTTATGTGGCTTAATAATCAGGGGATTATTATGGCATTCTGAAGAAGCTGCTGCATCCCCTGGTAGCCAGGAAATGTAGGCACAGTCACTAGTCCCTGTCAGAGTAGATGAAGTTCCTGGAGCCAACATGATGGGAGGACTTGCTCTTTCTAAAGAAGGATTGGCCATGGGGTTTTGGAACATCTTACTTTGTGAAGCAGTGACCAAGAAATGGCAGGGATTGATTGCCATGGATGAATGCCACTGCAAGAAAACATGGGTTTTTTGCATGCAAGTATCTTTTGTAACCTGTATGTTTCTAGATCACTCTTCCAACTTGTAGAACCCTGCTATGGAACTGATAAGTGTTTCCTCAAAGACATTGGTCTTGAAAACACCAGGCCTTATACTGTATGTATATTCTCATTGAGGGGTTGAGTTTGGGGTTGGGGATTGTGGTTTTTTTTGGTTGGTTGGTTGGTTTTTTTCTTTTCCAAAATAGAATGTCATTTTCCATTTCCATTGTCCAAAATCTCATTTTTTCTGCTTCTGGAAGGAGTGTTTCTCTTCCAGTTTAGTTTTATAGGCAATTTTTTCCTTGTTCTTTCTACAGGCAGTAATGTTTTTCCATGTGTATAATAGGCAACAGACATGTAGCTGCCACCCTCCCCCCCAAAGTGAAATAAAGTCTAATTCTCTGGGACTTTATTAATTATAAAAATAAATCTGTATTATTTTCATTAGCTGTTAGGGTCTAATATCCAGAATTTAATTAAAGCTAATTGAATTCTCCCTTTTTTTCTTATTTAAAAGAGATCATAAACAACATTATCACGCATGAAAAGTGAGTGTTGTGCTGTTTCAAGTGATTCTGAGGGATTGTCCCCATTTACTTCTACTAGTTATTACCTTACTGAAATCAAAATGCTTCTCAAGAAAGGTTCTGGTGTGGCTGAACTTAGTGCTGAGCTAAACTAATAAATGAAAATAAAGGTGACTCTTCTTGCAGCAAACAGCAGTCATGTTTATCTTCATGGTCATTAAAGGTAAAAATTCCAATTAGTTAAAATACAAAATGTGACCTTTTCAACTCAGAATGTTCTAAACTAGTGGGAAATTGCCCAATCAAAAGCCCTACCACAAGGGACTTTTTTTACAGTAGGATAACAAATTGTTCCCAGGCCCAGCTCTTACCTGGCAGTTAAAACACAGCACGGCCCTGCTTGCTGAGTTAGTGTGGGGAGAGAAAAGCCCCACTGTTTGTTGGTACAGCATTTCAGCTCTTGGCTGTGCCTGTTTCTGCTGCATTGCCAAGGGAGATGATGGGGCAGTCCCCAGGGGAATTGTGCCACTGTGGGTTCTGGGAAGAGGGGCAGTGAACTGCAGTGCAAGAGGGTTGCTGAGGACCAACAGCAACAGGCACACTGTTTCCAGGGTGGGAAGTAGCTGGGAGAAGGCTCGTTGTGCTTCAAGTTAGAAGGAATCAGAGAGTTGTCCCTGCTCTGAGGAAAGAAGGAATTGCATCTGTGCAGAGCACCTGCTTAGTTTGACGAGAGAGAGGTGGGGTACTGGGACCAGTTTTGGTTACCTCCTGTTCCAGGGGCCCTTTAGTTCTGACAGCTGACCTGGAGGGCCTTTGGAAAGGCTTCACCTGTGGCTGACCTGCTGTTCTGGACTCTTGGTGGTCTTTACATCATTACACCTAACATTAATAACTAGGAGATAATCCCTTCCCAGCCTGTGAGACTGCTCTGCCTTTTTGTTGCTGTGTTACCACTTAATGACACATTAGGAGGACGGTGAAAGAAGATTCTGTGTTTTTCAGTCATGGTCAACATCAGAATACCTTGTAAATCCTGTTTTCAGGTGGCTGACCTAGTCAGCTGAGCAGGTCCTTTGGTGCCAGATATGTGTGTGCCATGTGTTGGGTCACAGAACATCTCCCCTCCCGGAGAAGTGAGGCCAAGGCAAATATGAAATAGCACTGTGGTTTCAAATGCAGAAGTTAAGAATGTGAAAACTGGACATGAGTCAAAGCAATCCATCTTCCCAAGTGCTGATTTGAAAGCTTGGAAACAAATTACCATTTCTTTTCCAATAATGCTCGGTTGTTACTTCTGTTTCTGAGGCAGGTTGAACTTCTTGCATGCATTCTCTTTAAAGGTTAAGCACAACTGCTTGTGTGTTTGTTATTAATAAATGGTCTGCTGGGTAGGGGATTGATTTGGAGAAATTTGAGGGGAAAAATTTGCTGGTTGCTGGAAAGAGTTGATGGGAGCATTTGCAATTCCTATAAGCACTCTGTAATTCATATTTGTCCTCTTTTGACTATTTATGAGTTGTAAATAACCTAGTTCCCCCAACTTAAAAAAACAAATGTCTTTGGGTTTGAAAGGGTTTTTTTTCTGTTCATTTGTTTGACCTAAAGATTGAAGTCACTTGGTTACATTTGGAAATAAAGGGAGAAATGTTTGGTAGAAGTAGTACAAATTTTTAGCTTCATCTTCATGTACTGTCCTAATTCTTTGGATCTTTTGAACTGGTAGAATGTTTTTATTACCTTAATAATTTAAACAAGACTTCTGGGTGGAAAATATCTATGGTTAATGGAGATTGTAAAGGGTACAATGGGAAAAAACCCCTGTAAAATAGGACTGAAAGGACACTTGCAGTTCTTAACCATATGTCTGTGTTAAAATCAGGACACAATTGACTTGAGAGAAAAGGAAAAAAAAAAACCAACCAACGACCTCGTGCGAGCCAAGTAAAGATGTTTTTCTGGGCTTATGCCATCTGTGGCTGCAGGAACTAAATTCTCCTTGGGAGGAAGTGTTAGTAAAGCTGTGCAAATACCCTTCTCTGCAAGCTACTGCCGGCTCCAGGTCTGCCAACAGATGGCCCCAGTGCCTTTCCTGCTCGTGTGGTTTTCCCAGCTCCGGTAAACTCTGTCAGGGAGGGAGAGCAAACCCGTGGCTTTATTGTGTTGTCACTACACATGAGCTTTGTTATGAGCTTAAAACGTCCTTTGCTTTGTTTCTTCCGAACGGACAATTCTGCATTCTGCAGTAGTTCTCTGCCTCTTCAGGAGCTGGGTGTAATCCTTCATTGATAATGAGATTCCAAAATAAACACTTCCCAGTGAATTGATAACGTTAGCATTTTTCTACCTGCTGTCTGTCGTGTTCTCTCTTTCCAAACAAGGAGTGTCTCCATTTACCTTTCCACTCTGCTGTGCTACAGACTGCACAGACACACTCCCAGGGTCCCTCCTCACATCCTCTGCTTGTGGCTCCCTACTGGAGACTCGTGATTTCCTGCTGGCATTGCTGGATGGAGTAATCTCAAGGAACTAAATGGACTAAGTCAATCCCAGTAATAGTCAAAGTGCAGTTTCATGAAGCATCTTGGAATCAGTAATTCCATACTAATAGCTGTGGTCTCTTCTGCTTTCTTGTGGAGGAAAGACATATGGGATAGACATATTTGGAGCTGAGACTTGCACCTACTAGGAAAGCATTTATTGACTTTTAAATGTTAGTGATTACATCAACTGTGAGAGAAGAGGTCAGTGTAAAAAAAACCAAACCCAAAACACCTCTCCCCACCCCCTTCCCTGGGGGGAAAAACAAAACCCAAAACAACCTCCAAAAAAACTGAACTGGCCAATGTTAAAAAAATGCACTTTTTTCTTTACTTTTGGATACTGTCAGCACTGGTGTCCACCCCAGCAGCATTTCCTTTGATAAAACTGCAGCGCTGTCTCACAAATCAACGTTCAGGACTGATCTGGGAAGCTGTGGTGCTGCCTAATGCCCACACAGATTATTAGCTGTGCTTCCTGCTTTAAGGGAGTACTCCTGAAATGTCAAACCCTTGCTGTACATGTTTGCAAACTGAACTTTAAATGATAAGCTCAGATCTCGCTCATTATAGATAATTGTAGCTTCTCTCTGTTGGAAAAGATCTTAATGCTGAGCAGTGTCTTGGCTGCCTCTGAGTAGCTCCTCAGATTTGATGCATGTCTGTTCCCTTGCAGCCATGAGGAATATGCTGCTCTTAGAATTCTTGAATTGCTTTGAAAGGTAACATTTTGCTGGGACATCTAGGTTGGGAATAAAATGCATGAAATTTATCTCTGATGTGTTAATTTGCTTGATAGTTGTAAAGCCAGAGATTGTCAGCAGTTTTTTGGTGAATTTTGAGTGTACAGTCGTTGCCTACTGGATTTATTTCTCCTGAGCAGCCTATCTTAATATTCTCTCTAACTAAAGAGTAAAGATTAAGGCTATTTTGTTTTTTTGAAGTGTTCCTCAGTAACAAAAAAAATTGGATTAAGTTTATTTTTGTTGTATTTAAAGCTTAATTTAATATTCTCTCAGCTTTTCTTTCTAAGGCATGCTGTGAGTAACAGGAATTCCTTGACTTTCCAGTACCACTGTCTCTTTGGCTTGCTTTTTCCACCTGCTCTTAAGATGCCTGCGCTGCAGAGATGTCTGTGCCTCAGCTTCCACAGGAGCCTCCTCCTTACCTTTTTATAGCTGCATCTGGATGTGCTCCAATCTTACTACCAACTTTCTCTCTTGTACTTTGTTTTTCAGCGTCAAAACCTCTGATTCACAAATTCTGCTCTTTTGCTTCCTTTGCCTTGTCTCTGCTTAGCCTCTCTCCGTAATCCACCCTTTTCAGCACGTCTCCTTGCTTATAGTAAAAACTGAATACAGCTTCTTTTAAAAAGCAGATTTAAACTATTTTGGTAAAATAACTGTCAGAGAAAGTATTGATGAGATTCAACATGGGTAGTAATTGCAGTGTTAAATAAAACTCTTTTCCTTTTGACTTGTGGAAAAACAATTTCTAGAAGCTTGTCAGGCTTATTAATTTATTTCACCTATGTTTTCAGCCAGTTATTTAGCTTAGCTTGAAAGAAAAAATCCAGTCTGAAGGATAAGGAAATTCTCCAAGAAGTTCCTGTCTTTAATCCTTGCAGTTGACTCTAGTGGGCAGATTGCAATCAGCACAAACTTTTCCCTTTGTTTGGAGTTAAATCTGTTCTATGCATTGTTTTTATCTAGGAATATGTATTTGTGCTAAATGTGTTGGTGCTTCCAAATGAACAGTAACGATAAACTGTCATCTCCAAACCAGTTGAGCTTTTGTTGCCCCTGACAATATCTACATGGAAGGCTTATATCATTGCATTCTTATTGCAGCTACATTTAGAGTTTGGCATCTCTTAAATTTCTGTTGCCTTTGTGTATCTTCTTCATTAGTTTTTCACAACTATGTTTTTTTCCCTATGTAGGGTGACTTAGCAGCTGTGGAACAGCTGCTGACAAATGGGGCAGACCCCAATGTCAAAGATAATGCTGGCTGGACTCCACTGGTGAGTATTGAAGTCTCTTTTTCTGTCATCTGTCTTCTAATCAGATTTCACTTTATCCCTCCTTTCCTCGCCCATAGTTTAGTTCCCTTTGCACAGAGAATTTTGCAAAGTGAAGAAGTGATGATAAACAAGGTTAAAAGAATTCATAGCAGCTACTGACCTGCCCAAATCTCACTCTCCTCTGCTGGGGTGTATGGCAGGCCACGAAATCATTCAGCCTGCGATTCTGCAAGTGCAGAAGATAAAACCACAATAGCTAGAAAACGATCAATTGCAAACCATGTTTATATTTTATGGGTTCTTAATGCCCTCAGTGTTTTGGAAACATGTCAAGTAGTGGAATGAAAAAATTGCTCACTCGGAATTGCAGAAAACAAACAAAAAGTTCTTTTCAACCATGACTTCTTCCTCTCCTGAAGAACACTCCTGACAGTCTCTAATCTGGAAGGCTTTGTTCCCTGCAGTCTAATTTGCACACAGCTGGCCTTTGTTCAGTTCCTCTCAGTGTTTTTGTCAGTGCTGGGTTCCCAGGTTAGTTCCTGTCAGGAATGTCACGCACTCTCCTGGCGTATCATCTCCCCCGACCCTCTCCTGAGTGCTGGAAAGTGAATTAACCGTGTGGCAGAAGCCCTTGCCGTGAGCCCTGTGTCACCTGTCCGCTCTCCCGGCTGTGCCCCCAGCACGAGGCGTGTAACCACGGGCACGGGGCGGTGGTGGAGCTGCTGCTGCGGCACCGGGCGCTGGTGAACACCACCGGCTACCAGAACGACTCCCCGCTCCACGACGCCGCCAGGAACGGCCACGTGCACATCGCGGAGCTGCTGCTCGCCCACGGCGCCGCCCGGGACGCAGTGTGAGTACGCGGGAATGTCGCGGGAACTGCGGCAGCAGCCACAGCTACAACCTCCAGAGCCGCGGCTACAACCTCCAGGGTGCACGTTGAGTAAACGGGAAGCAAAGCCAGTAATAAATGTGATTTGTTTGAAGTGAGGGGGTGGGTGTTAAATGTACTCTCTGCTGTGCTTGAAGCCTCCTTTTCCAGGTAGGTGTTTCCTTTCCACTTTCCTTTGTCCTAAGCTTTCCTGAGGACTCCTGAGTCACAGAGAGCTGGAGTACTGGAGACTGTACTAGGAAAGCAACAACATATGCTTACCCTAATCTTACACTTTCCTGTTGGCATCTTGTTATAGCAACTGTCGGCTCGAAGATGCTGAACTAGATGAATTTTGAACTGCTACAGCTGTTTTTTGTCTCTCTGCTTTTACTACACTACTTGCTAGCAGAAGGCATTTTGGTCCAGTCTCCCCTATTTTCACAAATGACATAAACACAGGCTGAGATTTGAGAAGTGTTTCTTTTTTTTTTTTTTTTTTTTTTTTTTGTTCTGGATCAAAGCACTAATCCTTGGTACACTTTTTAATTTAAAAAAAAAAAAAAGCTTAGAGTTTTTTTTCAGTTGAGTCTTCTATACAGTTATACCTCCTGAAGATTTTGGCATTTGTGTATAGGAGATGTTAAAGAATCTTTTAGTCTATGAATAACCCTGCAGCCTATTAGTATTTCAGACACTAAATGTAATTTTAGGTGGTGTATTGTTGTTGTGCCAGGGCCTGTGTGTAAATTTGAGTCCAATGCAAGTTGTCAATAGGTGTGTGTATGTAGTAACACAGCAGGATGAAGTCTTGCATGACACAGGTTTCCTTGGCAGCTGCATAAAGAAGCATAAATAAGTTCAGCTTAATCACTTGAATTCTTAATATTTGCTCTTGAAGCCTACAGAATTAAGGTACTCTGTGGGAAAGTGTAGGGTTTTCATAAAGTCCCAATCTTGAAGATACTAGAGTTTAAAAAAACAGCAAGAAAAAAACAAAACAAAGCAACAAACTCTCAAGACTTAAGCATGAAAAAGTAAAACAAGGATCAATTGTTCATCTTTGCTTTGTTGTTAAACAACAAGGACTAGCACATTTCTGACAGCTTCAGAAACTCATTTTCAAGACACTTTTTGACTGTCAGGAACTGGTTGTGTCACACTTATCACTTGTCTGTCTGGCATTTGAAAGCCTGGCACAGCCACCAGCTCTGATGGAAGGTTTGACAGGACCTGAGCACTGGGAGGTTTGCACAGCTGAGACTCCAAATGCCAGCAGTGGACTCTGCAGGTCTCTCATGAGCCTTGGTCTCTGCTGCGTGTGTTCACACAAACAGAGGTGAAGCTGAACCTCTTTCAGCTCATTCTACATGAGCAAACATGGCTTTCTGTTGAAACAGAAGCTTTTTAATCAGGGAAGGAGAGATGTATGTAAACTGCTAACTCTGCCTTAACTTTTTACTGAATGTAGATGATGTTCAGTTAAAGTCCTTTTGAGAACAAATTTAGCTGCTGTTAGTCTTTGTGTGATTTGTCTGACAAAAGCAGCCCTGGGTTCTTTGACAAAACTTCAGTCTTGTATGTCCCTCCTGGATTAATTGAGGCTTCCAGTACTTCTTTTCTGGCTGAAATGCTACTGTGTGTGTTGCTATTGCATTGATGTTGGAAAGGGATTGGGCTTTTCCCCCTCCCTGTTTTTACAGAAAGCATTAGAGCCACACAGTAAGGGATGTACAAGCAAAGTGTTCAGGCTTGAATAGTGAGACTCTACTGACCTCTTCTAAACACTATCAAGAAACAGTAGAAACAAGAACAGTGTTTCTGAGACTTCTAAGAATGTCTTTTGCCTCCCTTCCTTCCAGTGCCCCACTAGCTTTCAGCAATGAAAAGTGCTGTGATCTTTCCCTGGATCATGACTGTGCAAATCTTGCTGTGTGTTTTTTCTGCCACTGCCTCTGGTAGTTGTACTCCTAAATGAGCAGTGGTTGGATTTGTCTGGGTAAGTGGATTTGAACCTTCTTTAATAGAAAAGGTTTAATTTACTCTTTTTTTTTTTCCTAGTGGATACAAGTACCCTTAGAATGAAGTCACATCTGACAAGAAGTTTGTTTTTCTTCAGTGACTTCTTTCCTGGATCCCTGAAACCTGCAGAGCAGAGTTTTAAAAACAGGAAGCAAAACCAGGCTGAGCGCTCAAGATGGTGCAGTTATAGTTCTTTTCATTATGACTAGTTAGAGTTGGTTTCTTGGTACCTAATGCAGGATCTGCTCACCTTCCCATTGTTATTTTAGCATCTTTACAGTAGAAATTGAGGAGTAATGAGTAGATCTTGCATCTCTTCTCAAGGGTTTATTTTCTTGAGGGACATACCTGAGGCGTCCCTTAATTTTAGAGGTGTGCAGTGCATGAGCTAAGACTACGCCAAGCCAATTTTTCCAGATCAAAAAATTTGTCTCATTTTAGTTTGCTTTTTTCTTATTTTTTTTTTTTTTTTTTTTAGAGTATGAAACTCCTTCTAGTCCTTTTGTGGGGGCTCTTCAGGCTTTCAATGAACTACCTTTCAGCCCAGGAAAGGGCCCTCCTTAATGTGATGGGATAAAGTGATTCTTCATTACCTCACAGGAGAGCGGGGAGGAAAGTTTGATTAGTTCACTCTGGTTGCTTAAAAGTCTTTCCCTTTAGCAAAGCTCAGTAAAATGTGACCATGATAAATGTGTTCAAATGTTACTGGGGACACTATGAAATATATGGCGTGAAACCTCACAATAGTGACTGATGTCTTGCTGCTGTTTTGACAGTAGAATTAACTCAGTTTTGTGTCTTAATGTCCCTTGTGTGTTGGAGAGTTAATCTACTGGAATAAAAACAGAGCTTGTGTTGAATAGCCTGCTTAGAGCAGTAGTTTTGAAATTTAGAATGACACTCAACTGTGCCAGAGGAAATATGTTTTTAAAGATGTGCAGTATTTACTGACTGCAGGCCCAAAGGCAGGTAGGACCCACTGGTCTGTGCAGGGATGTAGGATATATCTGGAAGGAAATACAGCCGCTTCCTAAGGGACCTTAACTGGTGCGGTGCGCAGGGATAACCCTCTCCAGGGAGCTTTGCAGTTCCAGATTTAGCTCATCAGGTTCACAGACCCATCAAGCACATCTCATTCCAAGCACCTTTCAGGCTGTTTTTCTCCTCACGTGTTAACACATAGTGCTTTAAGAATCACCTGTATATAATATGAAGCAGCCACACACCTTTTGGGCCAAGCGAGTACAGATGAGGGCTTCCTCTTCTGCCAGAAAGCAATCCTGGGATTTCCGTATTCCTTGGCAAAAAAAATTTCTTTTGAGATCTCTAAGATTTAATAGTTGTGGCACTCCATTTGCCATTGAAATTTTCACTGACTGGGAAAGATATGAACTACAAATGAAAAATATTATGTGGACCACTGGACCTATTAATTGTCCTACTGGTCTTGTTAATTTTTTTAAGTTAATCTCCTACACATAGCTAATTTTTATTTTTATGACTTTTTTCAATGTGCTTGAATTCTGCCTGTTTTCCTTGCTTCACAGCAAGCCAAGTGATTTGAAAAATTAGATCTGTGCATTTGCAATTTCACAGCACTTCCTAAATGCTCTCCCTCAAATGGGCTGCCTTTCCAGCTCTTCATGCACAATAAGTTCAGCATTAGTAAAAATTGTAGCAGTGCTCCATTTCTTTTTAGGTGTTGGCTGTCTTTGAGTCGTTGTGAGTCTGATTCTGAACAAACCTCCAGAAATGCTTAGGGATAGACCATGGTCATCAATTATGAATGAATGGCACAGGGACAAAACCTCTTCTAACCTGCAGTTAGTTCAGGAGGCATTAGGCCTGTGACACTGACATCATTTTGTCTGCTCTTTCTAAGACAAGAGAGTGCAGGTCTTTGCTGTCTCAGTGCAAGACAGTATGTTTAACTTCCTGCTGACAGCAGGTTAATTAAAACCCTGGCTCTGTTTGGGTATCTCATATGGTTTTTCTGGCTGCACAGATTAAGTTTTCTTCCTTTTGTCAGGTTCAGAAAAGGTTTCTATTTACCATATTCTCCAATCCAGGTGCTGCCTGGAGAGCCCTGACCTAGTCCTGTTTCCACATGGGAGTTAGTGGTTACTGCACTGAGACCTGGTTGCTGGACTTCCATTCAATACTGAACTCCTTTGTGGGGCTAGAGTAAAACTTGTCTCGTGCTCAGCTGTGGAACCAGAGATAGCTTCTGGTATCAAAATGGAGCAGCTTAAAACTCCTGATTACAAAGTGTTATGTAGTTATTGTTTGCTTACATCAGAAGTTGTGCGAGATTTGGGCTTCGAAACCATTAACAGGCATGTCTCCATACTTATCTTCTCTCCTCTGATGACTTCTTTGCTGAAAGTTTAATGAAACATTTAGAAGGTAGCTGTAAAGTTTTGTTTTGGCTATAAGCAGTAACCTCTGTTGTCTTCATACCTAATACTTCAGCAGTGTTGTGCCATAAACTGAATCCTATTTCTAAAGCTTTTTATAAGAAGTTCTTTGAAGTGTCAGTCCTTAAGATATCATCTGTCATCTCGTGTAAAGTCATACTCAGAAGATTACGCGGAGTTGCTCTTCACTGGGCTCATCTCCGCTCTCAGCACAGCCATCCTGCTCTTTGATTGGGATTTGTTCGAGCTGTGATAGCCCTCTACTGACTACTCAGTACCTTGATGGCTGACTAATAGGAGGCTGCTTGCATCAAAGGGTACATCTGACTCTTGAATGTTTAAAACAACTTTCAAAAAGCCCACTTGCATTCTGGTAGAAAGAATTATGCCTTGGAGACCTTGTATTCCAGCTTAAGCACCACAGGCAATTATTTCTCCCTTGTAGAAACAATTGTGTCTTCCCTCTGAGTGTGGAACTCCTCATATGCACTGGGCCCATTCCCAACGAGCCCAGGTCTGTAGTAGGAGCACTCATAGTTACTGATATTTCTAAAAATACTGTGTGTTAGGGTGGACCTAATGGGCATGTCTAATTTTGCTTTGCAAACCGGGTCAGAATTAATTTTGTACTCTAAACAGGGTGGATGATTTCCCTTGTTCAGCTGAGCTGGATAAAGACAGATGTGAGCACATTTTTGTCAAAAGCTTGTTTCCCACTCCTGTGCCTTGCTGGTGGTGTTGTGCTTGCATTGGTCAGGTCCTTGATCCTGATCATAGGGTTAAAAATAGTATAAATTCCTCATATATTAAAAGCAGTTCCTCAAGCTCCTGCCCTGGTAAGTGTGGCAGAGGCTGGGAATGGGCTCCTTCTCGTGGTGATCGCTGACTTTTTGGATGGTGAGTGGGTGCCTGAGAAGTACAAATATGGATTTCATCCTTTTTCTTTGAAAAGGATGAGTAAATTACAACAGTAACCTCCTTGAAATCTGTTGTTAGGATGTCCTCCTCGTCTTGGTTTTTATTTTGTAAACCCTATTTTCTCCTGTTTCAGCTACGTTTTCTCTCTTTCCTTAAGCTCAACAATCTACTTTGTTGCAAATATTCAAAACTCTTAAATCATCCCTTGTACTGGTGTTCCTTTTTCAGACCTCAGCTCCCAAGTTTGTCAGAATTTAGCTGTGGCACCTTACCACCCTGTAAATAGCCATTGATTCGTCAATGCTGCATAATGATGGGATAGCATTTCACAACACTATTACAAATTCATTAAGAAGCAACTGAAATGAGCTTAAAAGTGTAGGAAAAAAATTTAAGTGAATACAGAGGGAGGAGCTGGACCTCTTATTGTACAGTTTAATTGGCAAAAAATGTTCTATGTTCAACTGCGATGCTCTGTATATTTATCTATGGTAAACATTCATGAGGTTTTTTTCCAACAATCAAGGATCTTACTGTGCCTTTGGAGGGAAAAACACTCCCAAACCTCTCCTACTGACACACAGTGATTTCCTCCCTCTTAGTTCCCAGTGGAAGGTCAGCCATCTAGTCTAAAGGTGATTTTTAGTGGATGTGATGATATATCTATTACCCCCCCGCATGCATTGTTCAAAGGAACTCTATCCTGCAGCAGTTTGAGTGGAATATGGCCCTTATTTAAGGAAAGGGCAAGAGCTACCCTGATGATGCATGACAAAGCAGAAACAGCATGACAATATTTAATGGGCTGCAACTCCCAGGACCGGGCAGAGATTTAACCAATTATCTTTTAGTCTGCAGAGCTGGTATTATGCCTGCACTTTGCTCATTAGTGGCACAGAAGAGCTTGGGAATACTGTAGAATACCATCCCAGACCCTTCTGTGGGGGATTCTTGTGGACTGTTGTTTTCCCAAGGGGCTGTGTTAGTGAGCACTGCTCTGTCAGGAGCACGGGAAGGTGCTGAGGTCGGACACATCTGTCAGCTTTGTGCTGGCCAAAGCCCCCTAGTTAAGTCAGAGTGAAGACTTAATGACTTGAGCTTCTCTTTGGGCTGGGTTGGGTTGTGGCATTATGTGGAATTCCCTATAATGCTTCCTAGATTTCTGCTCTGCACAGGAATGTGTGGCTGAGAGCAGCTCTTCAAAGCTGCGGTGGTTTTTTGACCCCTTTAAATGTTTCATTGTCTGATGACTAAGCTTGCCGGGGTTTCAGACACTGAGTCAGGGCTTTGTTCTCAGTGACAAGCTTCCCCTTCATAACGAGCTCTTATTATGCCTTTTGAGAGCAGAGCTATGTGAGGTGGGGAGAAGAGGATCAGCTGGAATAGCCATTATTCCTACAAAGGGCAAAGCAAGCAGAGTATTTCCCCAGAGTGCTGGCAGAGGATCCTGTTTGCTAATGGCAATTATACCTGTTCTGCGGTTTCAAGCTTTCCCTCCCCCCTCTGCTGTCCTGCAGCTGAAAAGTTGTGTGAAGAGGAGAGAGAAGCCATGGCTGTGCTTGGGGTGTTTATAGCAAATCACATCTGTCTGAGGAATGCTCAAAGAGGAAATGGCTCTTGAAGCACATCTAATAACTGTGAGGTGCCACATACGATCAATAGTTCTCAGCAAAATTGGCAAACCCACTAAAATCAGAATGAATTGGCTGCAATGTGTTCTGTGGAACAGCACACTGGGGGAAAATGAGATGCATGCTCAAATCCTGGAAGTGCGAGGGAGCCGCGGTTCCCAATCAGGAAGCCGAGAGCTTTTCCCATAAAAGCGCAGCCACATCAACTCCGATGTTTAATACAGCGCGTGGAATCTTCTGACATGTCGTTTATGGCAAGTGGATAAGCCAAAAGTACATTCCTTGGTTATATGACTGCAATGAAAGATTAAAGCTGAATTTTCTGGGTCTTGCAAATGATATCAAAGTGCATCTTGAAACAGTTTAACAAGGACTGTGGTTTATTTAACTGAACGTTCTGCTCTGAACATCCCTTACTCCTCAGCTGAATGCAACAGCTTGTAATTCAGTATCCATCTGTCTTGGATGCAATTCTTACTTGAAGCTTTGTGCTTTTAGCTGAAATTACATATTAATAAGAAAGTGGGAGGGAAAGCTACCCAGCTAATGTGCCCAGTTAGTTAAGAATCAAGTCACATTTTATTTACTTAAACCCATCTGTGCTTGTTTTGCCAGTAATATATTTGGTCTGCGGCCTGTGGACTATGCAGAAAGTGAAAGGATGAAGTCTGTGCTAATGTTGCCAGTGAAGAATGAATCACTTTCGCTTAACCAACCCTCCGAGGTAAATGTCTGTGGGGGTTTTTGTTGTTGTTGTTTTGCTTTTTCAAAAAACCCCTGTAAGTTTAACCTGTAAATATTGAAGACTTGGACATAATTACAGTACATCACCTGCTTTACAGAGAGATTTTAAAACTGGGAAACTAACCTGGACAGTATTTCTAGAATGTATGTGGAACACATACAAGCCATGAAATTCTGTGTTACAGCTTTATCTGGGAAAACAAAGGATATTTCTTGTAATGTGGATTTATTACAGGAGAATGAACACTGTGTTACTCCTCAAGTATTGTTGCTTGAACTTGGCTGTTGATGTTTTTTTTCTTCATATTTAAATTTGTTCTACTTACCAAACTGTCTGAAAGCAGCAGCAGTTTTTGCTCCAGGTGCTTTTTGTGTGCATTTAAAAGGCTGCTTCAGTATAATCCTTTGTCCAACAGTGAAGATATCAGCAGTTGAAAACAGCTTTTGGAGCTTTTGTGGGGTTTGGCTTTTTCCCCCTCTTTTTGTCAAAGACTTCTCAGGACTTTTAACCAAAATCAGGCTATTCAGACCTAACAAGTTCCAGCATTATGAAATGCTTTGGGCTTCCTGATGACTGAGGATTAAACTGACCTGGCTGATAGAAGCAGTCCTAGTTTACTGCAGGATATACAGCTTGGTCTGATCCCTCCTCATTGAGGCTATAAGGTCCCCATTGGCCAAAAGTAAACTGTTGCAGTTGAATGAGCAAGGATTTGGCTGTTCCTTCCCCAGGTAGCAAATGTCAGATGCAGCTCTTCTGTTGCAAACAAACCCCTTGGTGTTTGCATTCGCTGTGGGATGAGTGTGCACCCATGGATGGCTCTGAGCTCACATGGATGATTTGATCTGAGGCCTGGGGCTGTAGGGTAACAGCATCTCAGAGGTGTGTCTGTGCCATGGAATTTGGGAGTATTTATAAAAATCCAGGAGCTGAAGTGTCACATCCTTGTCAGCATAAAACTTGAGCAAACAGTGCCTCTTATTTGCATTAGTAGTATCCACATAAAAAAACCACTTAAGCATTCATTGCTTACAGGGCAAAGTATTAGGGACTTTTACTAGAAGTAAATGCAGATGTTAATTATATAGATTACTCAACAGTGTATCTGTTGGTAATACCCTGTTCACTAGGCTTGCCATGAATTGTGTTTCGAAATGCCTATTCTTTTTAAATAAAGCTGTCTAGTAAGTTAGTTGCTTTATGTTCCCAAACGTTTTCTGTTTCCTGCAGGCACTGAGCCCCAGCCAGCCTAGAAATGGCCCACTTGGTTTACTGGGGAGCAGTCTTAGTGCAGAGCAGCAGAAGTTGCTGAACAAATTAGCAGCAGTTCTGAAGGCTCGAAGATGTACTGAATTTAACAGTGAAGGTATGTAAATGTCTCTGTCCAAATATAAGTAACTACAGTTCTGCACCTTATCCTTCAATAACCTACAGTGGGGTTTTTTATTGTTCCTGGTAAGAGGAGCTTCTGAAATCCCTGGATTGTAGCTGTGGTAGAACGATGCATGTAAACACAAATAAAGCCTGTCTGGTTACCGAGGCAGGAGGCTTCGAGGGGAGCCACAGTTTGGCAGCATGTTGTCTGTTATTGAAAATCCCTAAGTCTCCTCAGAGACCTCTTCTCTTTAAGGTCTCTGCCCATATGAGACATCCCGTAAAGTTTGTGCCTTCCAGCGAGTCTTGGGCAGATGGTGCCTTTGGAAAGAGCGTGTCATTGCCCAAGAGCTGGCACGTGTCTTCTGACATTGCTTCAAGTTTTGTGCCTCATTAAGATTGATGGAGCCAAATTATGGGGCTTGGGGTTTTTTTTTTCTCCCCCTTTGAGGAGAGGAACATTGCCTTAAACCCTCCTATTAGATTTTCTTTGGAGTGCTGCTTGTGAACAAAATGCTAAGGCAGTTTTCCCTTACCATCTTTCACATTCAGATTACTACTCTGAAATTTTGAGTTGAGTTCTGTTAGCTTTGCATTAAAGCAGTAAGATCCCATAGTAAGATTCCTGTCAGAGTTAAATATAACTTTAAAAGGATTGAGAAAAAATACTGTCCTATAAACCTCATCTGAAGATTTAAGTGTTAGCTTGAAACTCTAAAACCATGACTTCCCTTTTTCACAGCCAGTATAAGTTGAAACTCACAAAATTTCTAATAGCTCTTCTACTAACTCTTATCATAGTCTCAAAAATCACATACTTGTGCTGGAAAGAGTGGTTGATAAATTATTATAGTCTGTTTATTCTTTAAATGGTGATTGATTGCTTTTCAACCAGGCATGGTTCTGATTTTTATGTGCTTTTAGTTCTACTGATGTAATTTTTCTCCTAGTAACTCATCTTGTTATCCCTGATGTTCCAATGCCAAGTACTGTCAAATGCATGATGGCTGTTCTGACTGGATGTTGGGTCCTCAAGTTTGAATGTAAGTATTAAATAGGTGGGATTATTTGGGGTTTTTAACCAGAAATTTTAGATGGGATTCCAGAAAAAAAATTTCCTCAACAACTGCTCTAATGTCAATACTATCTTAACATAAAGTGTGAGGGTTGTGGTTTGTTTTTTTTTTTTTTTAAATCTCCTGAATGACAAGAAATTTAATGAGTATAACTACTGCTTTCTTGTAAAATGAGTGCATTTCATCGTTAGATGTGTTGGGTAGGTCATGGCCTGACTATCAGTGGGGAGGGAATTTCTTCACTGCTGTATTAAAATGGATTTGAAGATTATGGAAAATATCCTGGGAGAGAGGGGAGGATTTTAGTGAATTCTAGGATTTCTTGTCAGCAGTTGCCATTAGAATTGATAGGAAACTTTAGCTTGCTTGGGGTACAGCTCAAGGGCTGTTGGAATAAAGCCTATATTTACATATAAGCTGAGACTGTTGAAAGTTTTAACTTCTAACCCAAGTTGCAGGTCGTTCTGATGTTATCTTTCATGCAATCTGTAGCTAGTTTTTATACAGTGCATGCTTTTTTATACAGCTGTTCTGTGGACTTAGGCCCCAGTTCTGCTTTTTATTCATTCTCTCTGATGTATTTCTTAGTATCTGTTCTCACAGTAGTTGCAAAAGCCATCTTCTTCCCCTTGACCTTTATGGCTAAGTCCCTTTAACTAATAAGTACACTACAAATGAGTTAATTATCCATGGAAAACTCACAGGCAAATTTCATTCCAGTTTTCTACTGTGTGACTAAACATCAGAATATGAGGACTCCTTAATGGTCTAAATTTTCCAGCCACTAATGTTTATGAAGGCACTGTTCAAAGCCCCAGAAGCTGCATACTAGTTTTTGAACTAAAGCACATCATCAGCTTGAACACTGGACTCAGAGTGTTCATTTGGCTTCCAGCTACTTTGTTCCATGCTTTTTTTTTTTTTTTTAAAGGATCTGTTGAATTAGTGTCCCTTTAAATGCTTTCTGCAACTCCTGTGGTGGCTTTTGTGGCCTTACAGGCATTTGCAGAAGGGAAACACCGTGTTGCCTCTGTGTTCTTACAACTAGGAGTAGCTTCTCGTTGAATGTGTAAGAGAGAAACACTGTTTATGTTCCAGCAAGCAGATGGATTTCATAACCTCCAGACATTTTGTTGTTAAGCTGAATGGAGGTGGTTTCCTCTTTGGATGTAGGGATGCAGAGCAGGAAGCTTGGAAAGCCTAGAAGTGGTGTTTGGGTCGTGTGATTGGAAAGGGTGTGTTCAGGTGCTCTGGAACAATAAAGAACCTGTTTAACTAAGACTGAATAACCTGTTTCTGTGGTGAGTCACTTTGCAGGTTCTTGGCTTCACTCGGTTCAGAAGGCCTGCACACATTCTGTCATACATGCCAGAGTGGCTTTCCTTTATTTCATTTTATTGGCTTGCTAGTCAGATGCTTAGAAAAATTGAGTGGTAGAGGAAGATTTAATTAGTGAGACCTCACTTCGAGTCTTTGCGGAAGAACTTTTACACTTAAAAGTGATTTGAAAAGAAAAAAAAATAAGTGAAATAGTCTGAGGGTTATTCAGGGAATATTTTTATGTTTTTTTGTTTGCAGCTGAGTTTTATTTGATGTTGTTAGTACTGATTAGTACAATCCTGACTGCTAATGCTCCCAGCTTAGTAAGCAACATACTACTTAAAAGCGAGTGATTCTCCTCCCTAGTGGGGAATGTTAGTAATAACTCATGGGGTCTGATGCAGCTAAGTGCCTATAATTAACAGCACCACTCCATCTGTTCCCACCAGTCTGTTATCAGTCTTCTTCAGAGTCATTACAAGTTAAAGATTGTTATAACAAATAATGGGACTCCTGCTGATGGAACATTTGTCTAGGAAAAAGAGGTCTTTGCCTTTCTCTTCCATGATTTCTCTCCTAATTTATTGTGGCTTTTTTGACTTCTCGTTGGATAAGTTTCCTTAAATGTGATGCAAATAAACTTCCAAAAGTATGTGCATATTCTGGTTATGTAATAAATTCAAGAAGCTGTTATGGTTCACTGTTCTAAAGTGAACTCATGTTGAAAAACTTCACTAAAATATTTGAAAAAACAAAGCTCAGTGAGGCACTTAATGAAGTGCTGACTATGCATAAGTGAGTATTTGAATTTTTTTTTAGCACAAGGTAAGCTGCACTTGACTTTTATTTCTGAAGTTATATTTATAGCCTAAACATTATACCACTTTCTACAAAAAAATCACAAAAGAGTATTGCAAAAACAGTATTTCATTTGAGAGTCTCTTCTGTTAACTCTTCTGTTAGAGGAGGCTAAACTCTGTTTCTCTAATAAAAAGCAACATCCTTCTCTTGAATGATTCTCTGGTGCTTCTGTTTACACGTGTCTACCCACAGACACAGCATCCATTTCTATTGGCAGAGAGGAAATGTGGAATTTTCCAGCAGAGTTTGCACCAAGTGTAAGGCCTCTAACTATTAAAGAGCCAGGATTTAAGTACATATCTTCAGTTTTGGGATTCCCTTTTGTCTTCAGGTGGAAGATTAGGATCAAAGGATGTCACCACTGAGCAATATTAGATCTTCACAGAAGAAGAATTTCCCCTTACCAGTTGCAGTTCCATCTTTTCCATATCTAATACGCTGTCAGCAGTATATCCACTTCCAAGCAGCACAGAATTCAATTGAGACAGTGTTGTCACTGTGCTCCTTGCCCTTGGCCATATCTTTCACTGGTTTCATTATTTTATTGCCTTCATTATTTCTGGGATGGTAATAGGGCACGAAGTGGCATATCATTATCCTTCTGCAAGTAGGCTGAGACAAAGATTCAAGTATCACTGTATTTGCTCTGTGCTTTATGGAGAACGCAGAAGAGCGTAATTAAAACCAGCAGAAGTCTTTAATAGCTTTTCAGCTTGTTTTTTCCTTAAACTTAGTGTCATCTGTTAAAGCAGGGAATGAAAAATGATCTCAGTAACGATATGCATTGAAACAAGCTTGTGTCAGTCTTTGCAGCCAAGTGTCTGGCAGAATTCTAAGCATCTGATTGCTCATTCCTTCCTCTGCTTTGCTTACCTGGAGCAGCAGCAATGATTCAGCTCTGATCATTATAAGAATGCAAAAAACCCTGCTTTTCCTGTAAGGACTTGAACAACAAGGAGTTGACTGGAAGGGCTGAGGGACTGCATGACTGACATTTCAAGGTGAAAACATCTTTCTGAATTTCTTGGAGCAATATGCCCATCCTTGTTTAGGCTCTTAGACCAGAGAAGTGCAAAGCTGTCTGAGCTGACTCCTTCTCAGGCCTGACTGTCTCCCTTCCATGCATAAACATCTTTTAGATACCAGGCTGATCCTCAGGAAAGCCCTCCCTCCTTAAAACAGCTCAAAACTTCTGATCACTGGAGTTTCATGCTCGTTCATTTAAAAGCATGTGATGAGTTCCAGAGGATGAGCACTCCCCGTGGAATTTACCCTGACCTTAGGAATGGCTACCTCCAGTCACTTTGATCAGTCTGGAAGACAGCTGTGGCAAACAGTGTTTTTTCCGAAGAAGGTGGGACACTTGGGGCTTCAAGTGAGAGAATGATTTTCATATCACATGCACCTAGCTTCTGGGAATTGGTGTTTCAGGACTCCCTAAGCATCTGCTCCATCAGGTTTAATAACTATCATCTGGATTAACTTGTTAACTACTACTCTTAAGCAGATTCACTTCAGTCTCTGCAGCATCTTGTCATTTCCATGTGATGAGAAAACAGACTGCTCTTGTTTCTTGTTCTGTACCTCCATGAAAATCTGTGAGTCTAAAGTTACTTCATAGGCACAGAAGAGACAATATAAACATTATTTTCTGTGCTGTAACAGAGGCCAGTAGTGCTGTTTATGAAAGCAAATTGAAGCTAGCCATGCCAAATTCCCCTAAGGCTTTCTCTCAGTCCAGAATTCTTCCTTTTCTAGGAAAAAAACCCCACCAAGTTTTACTCAATCTGCATGTAGGTTTTAAAACCCAGTGCAGACTGAGCTAAGGATGTTCCAGTTGCAGTCTCTACTAGATCTTGGATGTGTAGTATTTTATCTGCTTTGTTGCTGTCATGTATTTCTAAATTACTTCTAGCCTTTCTAAGAGATTTTTGGGACTAACCTCTGCTCTTTGCTTTATTAATGCAAATCCAGCAAAACTCCACTAAGGCTAATTGAGTTACTGAGAGCTACCCCTGGGTATCTGTGGGTTATTAGAACTTGTTCTTGGCAACCAGGTTTTTTTGTACTTCATTCTCTTTAAATTGTTTTTGCTGATGCAGTTAGTTTCATTATAAACCAATAAGACTTACATGAATACGGATTACAGGGCTCTGATCTTAAATTTTGCAAATAATGATTTCTTTTATTTCTAGTACCAGTGGCTATAGTTGTATCAAAGGTCAATTAATGATACCATTAGAGTGGACACCCTGTTAACCTGCTTGCTCCTTAGATACTCAGAGGTGAGAAGGTAGGGGCAGCTGCTCAGTGAGGTAATAAGGATCAGTGTTAGCAGTGATGCTTTACTGATCTTCCTAATGAGGGGGGAAAAAAATGAACAGTGCTCTCCTTGCCAGGTGTGGTGGCATCAAGCTGAACACGGATGGATTGAGCTACGGCATCTTCCTGCAGTGCTTTATAGGGGCTTTAATGAAGGCTTGGGCTTTGCTAGGATTTGGTGTTTATCTCTAAAAATTGCAAGTGTGAAATCAGCTGTTTAAGAGGCTTTTAAACTTGTGATGCTCTGTATTTCTGGGGAAGAACTCTGCATGACCCCTCTGCACATTTGATCTTGCCCCAGACCGGCCTTCTGTCAGGCAAGCTTTATCCATGAGTGCTTGCACACTGGAGCTGGGCACTGCACACAGCCCTGCTCCCTGTTTGAAATGCCACTTGCCTGGATACAAGTCTTGCCCTTTTGCGGGTGATTGCCCCAACTACCGATTAAACTACAGGGCCACTAACACGTAGTTGCAATAATCACCCTCTTTTCTTTAGGGAAGGGAACATGGTAAATTAATAAACTTGATCAACCTCAAACTTAGAAAGTCCACAGCTCTTGCTGCCAATAGTATCAAGGAATAAATCAGAATTGGCTGAGACCCTGGACAAGCTGAATGGTCTTATTTTATTTTGTAACAGAACAGACTAGCTTTTTAGTCAGGCTTGCCAGTAAAGAATCCACAGACTGTAAATCTGTGGAGGAAAACAATGGAACTGTGGTCTCTACTCCCTCCTTAAAATTACAGGTGTCTTCTCAAACGTAAGTTTGTGTTCCCCTTCATTTTCAGAGGCCTTTTTTAAGGCTGCCCTTGTACTTCCAAAGTTTAGTCCTGTTCTGAAAATTTTCTTGCGTAACTGCTTAAATGTCCATCTCAATTTCAGAAGGGAGGTGGCATGGTATTGGTGGTGTCCTGACCACTTTTTAATTAGGATGCTAGCAATTCTTTTTTTTTTTCAGTCCATTCATTTGACCAGTGTCTTGGTATCAGATTCTCACTGTTGGCTTCTCAATACAGTGCTGAACAAATGAGAGGATAATCTCTGGAGTTTTGGGAATCAGTTTAACATGGCTCCTGTTTGAAGTCAAAAGGCATTGTACTTTGTGTGTAAGGTCAAAAGAGCTTCTGGAAATGTGCCTGTAAAGGTAGCAGAATGATATAGCTGTGAGTAAAGCGTGGAATTTTATTTCCTTTTATATGTCCCCTTAATCAGGATGATACTCAGTCGGGTGAAGAGACTATTAAAAGGGAACTGTCATGTTATCCAGCCACTTATACACATTAGCAGCTTTAAAATTAATAATGCCTACTCCAAGACCTGGGCTATATTGAATGGACTCAGCTTAGCACTCAGTTTTCACAGAAAATAAAATCCCTAACTGTAAAGAAAAATAAATGTTGGAATGGCCTGCAGCATGCTCTAATCTCCTGTTTGTATCCCTACTCCTAAGTGTGAAATTGAGATGTTATTGTTGTTAGCACAAGATCACCTTGTGGTGGCTCTGCCATCTCTTGGAAGAATGATAAAGCTGATACATTCCTGGTGATTCCAGATGACACCATAACACAACCAAAGCTGGTTGTGCCCTCTCTGAGAACCTCACTTGGGCTGTTGCATCCAGTTGGAGTCACTGCATCCAAAAATGGTAATGCAGAATCAGTGATTCAGAAGCAATGACTTGACAAATTTTGTGTGGAAAGGGGGGAAAAGAACAGGAAAATAAGAACCTTTTGTTTAGACAAATGCAGAATGAATTAGGTAGAAACACAACTTGAACCCTATGTCGTTTTATCTCAAATAAGAGAACAGGGGCATATTTCCCTTTTATTTCTTTTTGTCTTATGATATATAACTCCTTTAATTATTTAATACAAAATCTGTGGTATGTAGGAGTCCCTGAAGGGAAATGAACCACTTGGGAAGAAATCAGTCTGAACAACATTTGCAGTTAAAGGACATATGCTGGTCTCTATCACTGAAATCATTTTGCTTTCCTTCTTCTGGTTAGGAATCCTTCCTCCATGGATGGATATTCCTTCACTGGTGTAAACACCTTCCTCAAACACTGGTTCCTACTGCATCAGTGTTCTGAGCATACAGGTAGATGTGGTTCTGATGCCACAACGTGGCATTTGCCTCATTTCCTTGTGCCCAAAGGCCCTCCTTTCCTGTTGCCATGTTTGTGTGGGCTCTTTCCAAGGGATTTTCTTGGTTCAGATGGGCTGTGCTGTTGATGGTAGGATTGCCATGAAGGGTGTTGAAGCCTGAAACACCAGCTCTTCTGAGCTTGAGGATTCCATTGACTTTCTTTTTTCTCACCTGTGTGTAGACAAAGTGTTAGAGGAGATGGCTTGAAATGCCTCTGATCACAACAGTTCCGAAAGGCAACTGTTCTTACCCATCAAATGTGACAAGATCCATGTGTCAGAGCAAGTTCTACGTCTTGCATGAAAAATATGTTCAGTAATTGAAAATTTCCATCAGCAAAAAAAACCATCTGGAGCCTGTTGCTCCACAAAGGGGTGGATGTGTATGCCTAGCAGCGTTGCCTTTAACATTTATGGTAAAGGAAAACGCCTGGGCATTGAAGACTTATGTTCGTGGCTTTTTATCCTATCTGGAATACATAGCTTTTGTGCCACAGATCTGACCTGTTTCTAGCTGGTAAAAGCAAGTTAAAATTCATGAGAATGCTGATCATGCAGACACTGGCTAGGAATGGGCTGTTGACATGTTTCCAGTTTTTTAGGGGAATACACGCCAGCCTGGTGGTTCTCGTAGACACAGTGAAAACAGGACACAGGTAGATGAGTCTTTCTTGCTCTCTTGGAGGATTGTCTTTATGTGTGACAAGGAACTTTGAGGATTCAGGTTCCTTGGAGGGCCTGGCAGTGTGAAGTGGACTGACATGTGTGTGCAAAACAGATATCACTGGTTTTGCATTCTCCAACACAGGCATTCCCCTAACACTAGTCACTTCCCTGACAATTTAGTTTTTTTCAGGCAAGTAGCAGTACAAAAAGACATTGCAGTCTTTTGTATTCATTCAGTCCTTTATTACTTTTGTATCACATTTGCTTCATTTACTGATGCTGGTACTGGATGCTCAATTTGTGATGTACTTGTTGTATAAAAACCTCATCTCTGTAGTGAAAGTCCTTGAATCGAGCTTTTGATGGCAGATTGAAATAAAACATGTTCTTAATGAATGGACAGTTCTGTTCTTAAGACTAGATGAGACTGTTTTTCCTTTATTGTGACTGGCACCCATTAATATCTGTATTTTCTTGGAAGAAAAGAATAACAGTGTAAGTTAGAGGCACATTGACAGAGGAAGTCTCGTTGAATTGTGGTGATTTAAAATAAATAAATAAAATGTGAAATAGCTTTTAGATTTATTTTTGAGCTACGAGTACTTGAAATTAAGTTATCAGTATTCATTGCTGTTATCAATAATGAATATGGAAGTTGCTTTTCCAGAAAATACATGACTAGGTTTGCCCTTCTAGTTCATGGTAATTTTCCTTGAAGGAATGAACAAGTGCAAATAATCAGTCTGATACTTGTACATGGAGGGAGGTATTTGCTGTAGGATTCAGCCAGTTGTGATTTTCTGTAGGGGTTTATATTTTTTGATGCAAGTACATTGGAGGACTTCTGCTGAAATGTGATTCCCGTTGCATTTTGTGAGTTGCAGCAAATTACTCAGAGTTTTCTTTCAATATCTCTCTGGATTAGATACTCCTGTCTACTGGCCTCTTACTGCCATGGCATCCAAGTACCTTTGTCAGTGAGACTTCTCTCGTAGCCTTGGGCTTTCTTCCTTTTTAGGATCAACCCCCCACACTTCACTTCTGATTTTGTTCAGTTTATGGTTTTTAGGTACCATGGGTTTCATATTTGCCCAGTGCAGATAAGTTGCCTGAATTAGAAATGCTGTGCAAGGAGTGAGGTGCTATAAAAGTTACAGCCTCGTCCGCACTGTAAATCCTCACGGAACCGTTTCCAAAATCAGCTTTGCAAACTTTTTCTTGGGTAGTTTTTATTAATGAGTGCAATGTACATTCAGGCAAAATGTTCCACCCTTGAGTGGGTGGCCACTGCAATTCCTGCCTCTGGAGTGAGGTCAGGTAGTGCATTTAAGGGACATTAGAGATACATTAGCATCAGCCCATTATTGGAAAAAATAACTGGCCTTAAAACAAGGTAAAAACATGTTGACTCTGAAAGACAATCTCATTATGCAGCAGTGGTAACAGGAGTGAATGCTACTGTTAAACCCCAGCATAAATCTCTGGTTCGTGCTGATCTTGGAGACCTTGAAATCCCATCTGATTTGTTATTTGATGCAGCTTTGTGCTGGCTTTGTAATTGGTCTTTATCAGACAATTGCTTCCATTCCATAACTGCAGCGTGGGTTCTACACGCTGGCTTCAAGCTTCCAAATGATCAGCAATTTGACATTTGACATTAAGTGGTTGACCTTTAGTGGGTAAGAGGAAGAGCTAATAATTCCTAGTGTTTATAGCACTGATTTTAGTGTGATATTACTTCTCTCCGTCTCACTTGCATCTTCAGCTGCTGCTGTAAATTTTTTCGAGTTTAAAAGCAAATTGCTAAAGCACACAGGCTTTGATGCTTGTGTGGATGGAATGTGATGCATTGTGGGTGATTATTTTATGTTAGCACAACCACTTAGTCCCTAAAATGATGTGCAAGCCTGTCTTAAAACCTGAGCTCTCTAATTTTTGCCTTCTTTATTGTTTTTTTTTTTTTCCTAGGGGTCCGAGCCTGTCTGCAAACCTCAGCTCGAGAACAAGAAGAGAAGTATGAAATCCAAGGTGGCCCCCAAAGAGGGCGGCTCAACAGAGAGCAGCTGGTGGGTTTTATTGCTCCAGCCAGCCCATATTAATGACCTTTGGTTCGTGCAGTTCTGCCCTTTGCCACACGCGAAAGTGCAGAAGATGTAAAATTTTAATGTGGTCTTGTACAGAAATTTGATTAAGTGCAAGGTGATCCAAGGAACTGTGAACACCCATAAAGCTGTCAGTTTTCTGTGTTAGGGGGGATGTTGCTGTAACCTTGTCAGGGGAACACTGTATTACACTCGTGGAAGAAGCTGATGGGACAGGGAGTGATGCTGCTTTGGCCTTCTCTGCTCAGCTTTAGAACCTAGTTCAGGAATTTGAAAGAAAAACGTTTTTATTACTATTTGTTTCTATTTAGGGCCACTTTTATATTTAACGGGGTTCATTTCTGGTTACTTGCTGGATTACACAGGAGAATTCATTAACTGCATTGTAACAGTAGCTGTAAATATTCCTAACTCATAGTTCAAACCCTGTTGTGCTGGAAAGTAAACAGAAGCAAGAATTTACCACGTAAGCAAGCTTTTCTTGATTGCATTCTTACAGTGAGAACCTTGCATGTTAAGTTGCTGCTCTAGTTTCCAGTGTTGGTTATTTTAAATCGTTGGGGTTTTTTTAATGCACTGATTTTTTCCTTTCCAATTTTTTTCCTCTCTGCTCAGTTGCAAAGTCCTGTATTTATACTTCTTTTTTTTTTTTTTTTTTTTGTGTCCCCCCCCCCCTCCACTTAGCTTCCTAAGTTGTTTGATGGATGCTACTTCTATTTTTTGGGCTCTTTCAAACGCCACCAGAAGAGTGATCTGGCGGAGCTGGTCAGAGCAGCAGGAGGACAGGTCCTGGTGAGGCAGCCGAAGCCGGACAGTGACGTGACGCAGACGATCAACACGGTGTCGTACCACGCGGAGCCCTGCTCCGACCAGAGGTTCTGCACTCAGTACGTCATCTACGACGGGGCCTCCAAATTCAGGCCGGAGAAAACCCGGCAGGGCAAGGTGTGGATGGCCCCCTCCAGCTGGCTCGTAGACTGTGTGATGGCATTTCAGCTCCTGCCCGTCGAATGAGTATCAGCGTCTCGGGAGCGAGGCTTTATGAAATGTGGGCAGTCTTGACCCGGTAAACTGGTCTGGAGCTGTGACTTGTGTTTTGGATTCAGGAGAGCTTTGGGCGTTTAAGTGAGTTACTAGGATTGCTGATAGGCTGGAATAAGTGAACGTACAGTGGAGGAGAGAATTGAAAAATGTGCCTTGCCTTATTTAGTATGCTTTATATTTGCATTGAACTTAATAATAAATGCTTAATGAGTAATCACTGACATTTTGTAACTAAGATTTTGCAAAATGAAACCTTTTGCTTTCTTGATTTGTAGGCGATAGACCCCATTTGTGTTGTGTTTCATATCCAGTGACAAGGATCTACTGTATGTGCCAAGATTTCCCAGGCCAGAATTTGTATTTTTTAAAAGAGAGGACTCTGCATTTGAACCTGCGTAGACATCTCGTGTCAGGTGACACGTGATGTTTATTACAACTTCTTACAGCTGAATTTTGCTGGAAATTCTTGGCGTGGGATAAGTCTCGTAGAAATCAGAGTTGAACTAATGGCTTGAGTTCATCTGGAAGCAGACAATTTTTGAGAACACTATATTTAAAAATCTTGATTTAGAATTTCCTTATTTTGTAGAAAGATAAATGCTTTTCTCACTTCTGTCCTCATTCATACTTGTAAATGTGTAACTTGAATTTCATTCTATTTTCCTAAGGTTTTGAAGCATTGGGTTCCTTATTAAATTATTATAATAAATACTTCTGTAAGTATGGATGGTTATTATCATGGTTACTTTGAGGAAAAAACTTTAATGATTGCAAAAGAATCATGTCTCACTTGGCACAGTTGTACCTAAGCAGCTGGCTATGCTGGAGCAATATTTGATTCTTTCTTATTTGTTACAATATTTCATGTAATTGGTCATAAGTTATTGTCAGAATCTTCAGCCCTCACTCTGTGCTCTCACCTAATGTCTTGTATCTTTTGTGAATTCATAATTGAAAAATGGTGTCTTGTAATAATACGATAGTCGTGGGATAAACCAGAGTTTTTTGTGTTTGCTTTCTTATTGCTCCTGATAATGAAACTTTTTGTGTGCAGTAAGTTTGGAGTGTCTTATTGCATGAGCTTGGCTGCAGAATAAGTACATGTCCCATACATATCTCAACAGGTAAAGGAAAATACTTTTCTGTGAGCTTGGGCAGCTGTGAAGATCACTTATCACACTGAAGAGCTGCTTTTGCAGATGAAGAGAGCTGTGTTCTGTAACCACTGTCCCTGGAGAGCCTGTGCCAGTTCTCAGTATGCCCTATACAGCTCCTAGTACTCTCCAGGTAGGACAGGTACAGTTTTCACCTTGAGTAGCTGGAGTATCTTGATCTATCCCTTATGCCAGACCGAGCCATTGCTCTTCACTGGATGCAGGGCTCATGAACAAATGGAGCAGCCCATGGGATAAGTGTGCTGTGGGTTTTTGAGCAGATAAACACTGGCAACAAATGAGGGGCTGAGTCGATACAATGTGAGTTTGGTCATTTGTTTTAACAATTGTAGCACATTTTAACTTGGCATTTCATAGCACATCAATATACCTAATGCAGTGTTCTTTGCAAAAGTAGCAGCGAATCTCTGCAAAAATTCTGAAGAATGGAGCTTTTCTGCTCTGTACCAGGAAGAAATTTGGCCCATCAGTAATCCTGTTCTCTGTCCTAAAGGAGAGGCAGCACATTTACAGATTTTAAGAGCTATTTTTCCTTGGCAGATGAAAAGAAACTGTTAAAAAATTGCCATTAATGTTTTTTTTTTAAGCCCCGCTCTGAACCTCTTCAATGTTCCTTTGAATCAAGTTGTGTTATCAAGCAGAGTTTCTATCAAATCACATTAAGAATCCCTCCATATCATACTGAGGGGAGATCCTTACCCAAGATTAACTCTGGCCCACCTCCTTCAGGTCTCTGCAGGGATTCAGAGTGTGATCAGTTTATGCAGATACAGACTTGAAGAGCCTCACAGTAGGTTTGATGCCAGAGTTACAGCAGGTGCCAGTCATCACTGAAGCAATGTGTAAGTACACAAAAGTAAGAGGTCAGTGACACAGACCCTGCTTAATTTGCTCCTGCTAATTGTTGGAAGCAGAGGGATAGCACCCTGTCTAAAAAGGGCTTACAGTAAGGATACATCAAGCCCCTTAATCCACTGAATGGATTTTGGCTCCTGAAAGCAAGGTTATAAAATCATGAGGCGTGTGGATCGTTTCTTTTCTGTCTCTTCTAGCCCAAAAGCAAGGGTGCATTAAAGGAAGGTGGTAGGAGGCAAGCTCAAAATAACGAGGTATTTCAGGCAGTGTGAGAGACTTGAGGCACTGATGGCCACATAGTCTGGCATAGTCTGAGGCAGGGAGTGGATGAGTTCATCAAAGACAATCTGTTAAAGGTTAATAAAGAACCTTAGCTGTAACATGAATTTATACTAGCATTCTCCTGCTAGCCTGCATGTACTTAATGTGCACTGATGATTGGGGCATCTCATGGAAACATAGAATGGTTTGGGTTGGAAGGGACCTTAAAGGTCATCCAGTGATCATTACCTCATGTGAAGAGATAGTAAGTACAGGCCTTGCATTCTGGATTATGGGTATTTTTATTGATCAGAAATACTGTGAATCACTGAATGGTTTGGGCTGGAGGGGACCCCAAAGTCCAGCTTGTTCCAAGCCCTGCGGACAGGTGCACCTTCCCTTAGACCAGGTTGCTCCAAGCCAAGGTCCAATCCACTTCCAGGGATGGGGCAGCCACAGCTTCTCTGGGCAACCTGTGCCAGGGCCTCACTGCCCTCACAGGGGAGAATTCCTTCCTCAGGCTAATGATTTTCAGGCATCTTCCCTTGAAAATTACCTATTTCTCATAATGATGTAGTTCATCTGGGACACTCGATAACACCTTTAACACTGGGGCTCAGTGACATCAGTTTAACAACTCTAATAGTTAATAGAAGATAATATTTTTAATCTTTTTGAGTGATGTTGCAATATTTCTGCAAGTGTTTTAGGGGAACAACAGGCAACCAAGTAGTATAAAACAGTGACTGGTTTTGCTCTCAGATCAGAACTGGCGTGCCTGGGAGGTCCTGTGGCTCTGTTGTCTTGCAGTCCTCTTCTGCATGATAGCAAGCATGGGAGGGTCCAAAGACGTGCATCTTTCTAGTAACTAAGATGTCAGCAAGTGCTTCACCAGCTGGCACCTACCCAGCCTTTGTGGGGCTTGAACTAAAGCCCCTCTCTGCTGCTCCATCCCAAGCTCTGAGTGAGGTTGGACCTGACAGGCTCTGTGGGACCCAACATGGTTATCCCTGATCAGCCTGGGCAGGGCTCACGGAAGGAGTGAATGACTGAAGGGAATTAATTCAAGGGAAGGAATAATCCTAGGTGGGGGATTGAAGCTGTGTGTATTCCCTGCCTAGTTCACGTGCCTTGTTTAAGACCAGACTTACTCTGGAGCAGTTATTTTTTGCTGCAGTCTTCCAGCAGATCCACATTTTGGCTAATGAAGCTCCTGCAAACATTCTGCTCAGGACAAAGCTGTCTGCATGGAAGCCACAGCCTGTTGTAAAACTTCACACTGGTGTGGGTTATTTGGGGAAAATGTATAAACACAGGGATCATCTGGTCCCCCTGCCTGTGCTTGCTGTGCTGCTTCCAGTTCCTGTGGGCTGGCTTTGCTGCCAGGGTGGGAGAGGGAAGGGGGAAAGTCCATTTACAGCTGCCAGCCCTGCAGTGCCGACAGAGCTGCTGGGCAGGAGCTGTTCTGGCCTGTCCTGTGGATCAACTGCACTGCCAGCAAAGTCTGGGTAGCAGCATCTTGGCATCTTGTTGAGGACAGGTCCATGAAAAGCAGAACAAAGCTTTTCTTTTTTCCTGCTCGAGCTATTTTGTACTTCAGTGCTGGAGGATCACCTGGAAATGTGATGTCACATTGATTGCTATTAATCAGTTTGGCCCCATGTCCTGTTTTTTTGCCTTTCTCTCACACTGTGCAAGAAAAAGCAGTTTGATGGGAAGGTTTGAATCTCTCTGATAACTAAGTGGGCTGCATTGTGTTGCAAAAGCCAACAAAGCAGGCTTAAATGCCAGCTCAAAAACTACAGCAAGAGGTCTTTGGACAGCCAGATAGTATTGGCTTGGAAATGGGCAGCAGTGTCTGGATGGAACAAATGAAGATTCAGCTGTTTTTAATAACAGTGCAGCATGTTCTATCTTTCTAGACTTGTTTGATTTAAATTAATGGTAGTTTAACTAGTGTTAAATTGCCCTTAAAAGCAGAAGAACATTTTGTGTGTAATCAGAGGAGAGAAGGGGAGGAAGATTCCCACCTTTATTTATTTTTTTTATTTCCTATGGAGAAGATGCATTTTGTGTGCTTCAGCTTAAGTGCTGGCAGGAGGCCTGGTCTGATGAAGTAGCAGAGAGCCATCAGCTCCCACTGTGTGTTCGAGGCCCTGCTGTCACTCCCTGTTCTGAGGTGCTGGGGCAGTGACAGGCACTGGAGTGGCTGGTCCCCGGGGCTTGTTTTCCAGCAGGGGCTGGCATGTCCTGCTCCAGTGGGTGCTGGAAGTTCTCTGCACTGCAGCTGGGAGGAGTTCCCTGTGCAGCACCACTGGTGGCTGCCTTATGACACCTGCCCTGGATGTCAGTAGTGCTCCAGAAGCAGAGGTTCCCCCCATGGGCACATCTGTAAAGCACAGCAGCCCCTCCCCAGGCCTGAGCTCAGCCTGGGGCTGTGCCTGTTCAGTGACAGTGCTGCAGAGCAGGGCTTACCCTCACAGGCCCCTCAGTTAGACATACACCCTGAGAACAGGTCAAAACAGCTATTATAAAGTGGAGTGTGAAGCAGCAGCAAAGCTGTCTGTCTTGCTCAGCTTGCTGAACTGATAAAAATTTACTTATTTCTTCAGCTCATGTGGGGTTGGAGTAATTTCCTGCTAGTTTAGGAAACTACTAATTCTCAGAAGAGCCAAACCATTTGGGGGGGGGAGCAGGTGTGAGGCTGCCTCTTCTGGGGTCTCAGTTTGGATAGGAAGGTGTTCCCATTGCCATACACACCTGTGCACTCCACATTCCCCTGAGGGGGGTCCCGGTCTCTCTGCAGGGTTTGTACTGGGTGCCAGACACAGCCTGACCAGGGAAGTGGTTTTCTGCTGCTCTGCTGGAAGGGGTCAGTTTTGAACAGCTGGTGCCAGGGCAAACCCAAATCATCTATAGTTTGGGTCTACCTGGAATGCATGGTCCAGCAAAATTTAATTCAGCAGCATAAAAGATCTGAAGGAACATTTTAAAAAAATGTGGGCCTTTTAATTGAATTAAATATTAATATGGATAATGCAATCAATGCTTTATTGATTGCGTTAGCCACAATAATGTTTAATTCAATAAGTCTGCAGTGCTGGATCTTTTTCTTCCCCTGTGTTTGTTTTATGCTGTGCAGCAATGTAATGCCATATGCTCTGCCAGGCTGTGTCCCCCAGGCTTGGTCTGCAAGAGCAGGAGATGATAGGATTGGGAGAGGGCAGAGGAGCCAGGCTGTGCTCTGGGTTCAACCCCTTCACCTGCCCTCAGGTTGGCTGTATAAAGTCAGGGTCACCTGTGTGGCTGATGTACCCTGGGTTCAAACCAGCTGCTCTTAGTGGCATGTGTCATTTCTAAAGCCCTCACACAAGCAATGTTGTTATTAATGTAAATATTGCCCATGACCCCCTTGTGCTTTGAGTCTGGAACCCCGGGCCTGGTCCTTCGTTCCTGCTCAGCAGTTGGGTCCCAGCAGCTGTGTCTGTCAGAATGGGGAGATTTTCTACCCTAAGCTCACTAACATGCTTCTGAAGAGGTGCCAGGTTCTGGTTTTAAACTCAGCCAAGCTTGAATGATTTTATCTGTGGTTTTAGGCAGAAGGTTTTTATTAAATTAAAAGTCACAATTTTGTTTAACTGAAAAATTGGAGGCAGATGTTCCTCCCAGCTCAGTCCCCTCACAGCACAACATTTCTGGTCTCTGGCTC